CAAGCTTGCGGAAGTGAAGATCAGTCACCTGCAGGCAACTCATATATCGACAACGATAGACATCATACAGTTTAATCACCCATTCTGCACATCTGACACATCCTCTGCTATTGTTCCGCGATGATACCATGTAATATCTAACAAGTACCATCTCAACAAAGCCTCAATCCCTATTCATCTCAAAAGTGATTATCTGCTCACGGCCACGCCGAAGCAGTCATGCCGCCGCCTACTGCCACGCCAGAACAACTGCCGGCCAAAGGCCAGTAAGTTCCTACATGGGATATCGAGGATTGGCAAAATGAAAGGGCTCAATCGGGATTCGAACCCGAGACCTCGCCCATTTTCACGCTATGCGCAAGGATTGGTAAACCCGAAGGGCGAATCATACCACTAGACCATTGAGCCAGGAGATCCCTGTGGGATCCAATGAGTGGTGTACAAGTGGCGACTTGGCCCCAGATTGCCCTTTATAAACCCTTAGCAAAACTCCGTTACACGAAGAATCGTCGAATGCTCGACAATGCGGGTGCGAAGCAAAAGAAGTCTGAACGTTTTGCCATGCGGTGGTTTTGAATTCGGCTGCCAAGTGAATGCGATACTAAAACAAAAAGGAACTCTATATGTCCACGTCTGGACTTATGTCTCCTGGGGTATCTTCACTGTAAACCAGCCAACCTCCTGAAGCCGACATTCTCCACGACCCTCAATCCGCCGTTCAGCGTAATAATCCCCTTCCCACCAGCAGCAAGTCCATCATCCACCTTGCCCATCGCCATCTCAGCCATGAATCTGCCCAAGACCTCCGTCGGGCTGACAAAAGATGGCAAAGCTGTTCGTATCACGGGGCCCAGGAACATGTTCATAGTATTGTACAGCGCGCCTGCGTTCGGCGCATAGGTCTCGACGGCCTTATGGCCGGCCTTGTCTACGAAAGCAGGGCGGACAGACTCGGCACGTAGACGCGGGTTCGCGGCGCGCATTTCGGACAGGAGGGTCTCGGTCTCGCCCTTGACTCGGGCGAAGATGGCGCTGAAGCGGCCCGGCGTCTGCGTTGCGCCCTCGCCTGAGACGTAGATGAAGCGGAAGGGCTCGTTGTCTGGCGGCAGGTTGGCGAAAGCTTTTGCTGCTTCCAAGGTGTAGTCCTTTGTGATTTTAACGTATTCCCTTGCGGACGTGTGAGTACTTCTCATGTTTGTTGGGGTGGGTTTACGGGGGGTGCGCTTACTCTTTGCTGACCTTGTTTTGGCTGATGCCCAGTGCCCACACAGCGCCGTTCGCGCCCTTGAGCTTTTCGAGTACCTCCGCGTCGTACTTTTCAAAATCCTTGTGGATGATGACGTTGATCCGAGGATCTTTGGCGGCCTCAGCCATGGGGATGGGCTTCCGGCTGAGGACTGAGATCTTTGTGACGTCCTTTATCTTGATCATGGCATCGAGAACGCCTGAGCCTACGAGGCCTGTGGCTCCAGTGAGGATGAGATGCATCGTGTTAGTGATGTCGATTAAATCGTGCGCTCAGAATGACAATGATGTCTGTGTGGCAGTGGTGACGCTGGCTTGCCCGTGTTTAAGTGTCCTGAGAATCGAGAGTGAAATAGAATGAGAACGTTTACATCCACATCTCAGTCAGGTCAGCAGCGATCCGGTCATCTTTTGAATCTCAATTCTTCGTGATGGTGCGGGCGGTGCGGGCGGTGCGGCCGCGTCCTGCGGATGATGAATCCACACTGGCGCCGGGAGGCGTCCCGGACTTAGCGGTATCGCCATCTCACGGCGCCTGGATTGCGGGCGCGGCTGCTTCTGGAATCTGGATCAGGCAGTCAGACCTCAAAAGGATCTTCTCCGAGGCTTAAGGGCCTATGATGGGACTTCTGTTTGTCTGACGGGACATTGTTGTACCGACAGTTGTTCAATCCGTCCAGTCAAATTCAGCGAACCTCTTAACCGGTGTGAGACATTCATCCGATTCTGATGCTTGACTATCGACATCCTTTAAGCTTACGTCCATCAGCAGCCACTGTGCCACTGAAGCCCCAGTCTATGCAATGTCCCCCAGGTTGCTACGGGGTACTCCGTACGGAGGTGCGTCTCAATAGTCCTTGCAGTTGCTGCCAAGACCAACCCCTGCCATAGACAGGGGAGTCGACAAGGGGCTGGCTAGGGTGTGTACAAGCGGCAGATTTCGGCCACTTCCACCCACTGTAATTATCGTCAATTCAGCGGTAAAAAGTCGTCAATTGAGGTCAATTAGTGGTCGTTTGACGGTATAATCCAGCCCGACGACCCTCTTTGTATTCATTGCCGCCCTCTAGGGCAATTATCTGTTGGATGTGGTGAGGTACCCTTTCTATCCATTTCTGGATCTCCTCTTGCGGTAATGCTTTCCAGCACTCTTGCCAGCGACGTACTGCTTCGGCCCGTGACGAAGGCGCCCCCTTCCTGGTGGTCCATCTCTTCATCCACGGCCAGCAAGGTTCAATGGGATTGAGGTCGGGCGAATTACCCGGCCAGAGAAGCTTCGTAATCTCGAAAAGGCTGTACGTATAGTGGGTGAAGTGATGGTCGTGAGCGGGTGCCTTGTCCTCTTGTACGATTGGATTACCAGGTAATCCTTTGATATAAGGGAATAATTTGGGTAATAGGATCTCTTTGCGGTATCTGTACCAGTCAATTCCGCCCTTGCCGTTCCGTATTAACTTGCCCGACTTCGCATTCCAATTGAATTGGGGCTTACGGCCCGGTTGGTTCCGTAAGCCCATTCGCTCCATACCACTCTCGAGCTCCCACTGTTGACGTCGAACGGGCTCGAGCTCTGCGTTAAGCTCGGTAATCACTGCGTCGGCAGCCTTCCTCTCAGCAGCAGTCTCGGGAATCCAACAGTGGCACGGCCCTTTCGAATCGTATGAGAAAGACCCCCAAAACATGAATTCGGAATAACCCTTCCACCTCTCTCGTATGCACTGCCTAGAGTAGGCCTCGTCTGGGCGACGCCAGAGCTTATAGCTACCGCGGCGGTGGTTGAGGGCAACCGCGGTCTCGTCTGACCATACAACCCGCTTCCAATCGTCGAGGGTCCAGTATTGGTGGTCGAGGCACCACTTAAGTCGCTCTTGCCGCATCCTTTTCGTTAAGCCTGGCTTGCGGGTTGGTTTGGTCTTGTGGAAGCCATAGCGACGAAGGATTCGCCAAACAGTCATTGCAGATACGTCAACGCCCTCGTCCCTTAATAGGTCCCCAGCAATATCAGTACAGTTCTTTTCACGCCCATACCGGTCGCGGCAGACCTTGCGGATGACGGCATCGTTGACCTCTTTCGTCTGTTTGGTTGGACGGCCACTTCGGGGGGCATCTTCGTAATGGGCGGGCTCAATCGAGAAGGTAGGAGCAGTTGGGTCGAATCCGTTCTTTTTTGCGCGGGCAAGAACGTCGTAAACAGTTCGAACTGGAATTTCTAGAGCCTGAGAGACCTGTTCAGCAGTCCACCCAACAAGTCGACTTCGTAGAGCAAGAATCACTGCCCTGACGCCTGGATCTAGCTTCTTCTTTGTCGGCATCTCAGGATCCATACTGAGGAAAAAAGAGCAGCGTAGTAAGTAGCGATTTGGCGGTTTTGATATTATCGTAGGATTAGTGGTAGTATCGTAATGGCGGTGTATGGGGTAAAATCGTTGCTATGGGCAGTGCTGGGGGGAAAGTAAGTAAAGTGGGTCAAGATCAATCCCTAGGCTCTTATTGGTTCAGATGGGCAGTAATTGTGGGTCTGGGGCTTGGCAGCGACTGCAAGGACTATTGAGACGCACCTCCGTACACGCTGTCCCAATCGAAATGACCTGCAGGCTGCAGCTAAGGTAGAATTCCGCTGTTATTCCCGCCAAACGCCGAAATTGCAGAATTTCCGCAGCGGACAATATCATCATGGCCGCTGAGACGGCAGGGTTTTCAAATTTTGAAGGGGACTTCGGTGTCCTTCCACTTGGTTGAGCTTATTTGCAACTCTTACGTTACTGGAGGTTAAACGCTCGCCATTAGATTTGACGAAGAGTTCGTGGTCTATCAGCTTCTCTATGTCGCTTGCGATGTGCCACTCTACCCTTTCGTGTACTCCTTTCACCTGTCTTTATCTTCAATGCTCCTTGCTTCATTCCCAAGACGCGCTTACCTCCTCGCTCTGCATTGCGGCTCTACCAAACTTGTTTTACCGGTACTTCCTCGCGTTACACGCGCGGTCTCCTCGTATCGTCGGGTTGATCACATTGGTCACGAAGCATTAATCGTTATCGCAAACAACAAATGTTTCGTGTCCGGCACGTAGATTTCTAAGTGGTAATGCCTCGATTGCCAGGAAATTGGTGTCTGCTGCTCGGTTTCCCGTAAAAAGACGCAATATTATATTGTACACAGACTCTTCAGCAAATTCAAATTCCAGACAAGCCTGGCCCGACTTCACGGAGAGTGTTTCCACTAGCTCTGAAGACATTGCCAATTTTGATGTGAGTGAGCCACTATGAGAACATCTCAGGCATAGAGTTGAAGTTCATGATAGAGCTGAACCCGAACCCATTATTGTCCTGAAATCAAGTTAGAAGGCAACGTCAAAACAATTTGGGGCTTTCAAGGAAGAAGACCTACCACGGATGTGCCCCAATCCCAATCCCCAAGCATATCGACTCCGGCATCAAAGTCCATATCCAAATCATGCACATCGGGCATGCTGACTCCTTCCTCAATCACATCGCCCCCTGCCAATTCCGAGAGCAACTCATAACACTCTTTTACCCGCTCCTTACAAGCCTCCTCAAAGAAGTCCTCGATCTTGTCATCGTTGACACCCTGCTCCAACCCATGAATATGCGCAATGAGCAGCACACTCAGCGCGTGGCCCTTGATGTTCGTCTCTCCAGATTGGATCCGATTTCGTGACCAGTCGTACACAGCTTCGAGGATACCCCGTAGCTGATCCTCAGAGCCGCTGTAGATCATTGAGTGCCCATTCCTCACTTCCTCCTCCTTGATATTGATAAGTTCCAGCCCCAGTGTCATGACGCCCTGGAAGGGAACAGACCTGTAGAACCCGGCACCGTTAATCGTCAACCGATGGAAATCCACCTCCGAAGGCGTCGCAGGCTTCACCGTGGCGCCTGTGCCAGACTTATCCGGGGCCAGGAAAGCAACCTCGCACAACCGCAGCGCCGTATCGACGACCATCTTGCGAGAGAAGTAGTACACCGGGTTCCGCAGCGCCAGCGGGGCGATCTGGTGGTGGAGGGCGAAGAACAGCCGGTACGTCAGGAACTGAACGTACCGCAGCTGGAAAGAGGTGACGGCCGGGTGTATCTTGAGCTGTTGCATCATCCTCTGGAGTGCTTTGCTCAGTTCGTTGCTGTGACGGAGAGTCTCTTCGTAGACTGTGTCTGATCGGAATTCGTTCACGCGTTTTGCTACCGCCAGACGAGTTGCGAGTGTTCCGAAGACTACGAGCGGTACTGTCATCTGCGTATGTGTACCCGGGTCCCTGGGCACAGGGAAGGCTGTTTCACCGTCCTCGACGAGTTGCTCGTCGTCTAGATTCGCCGGTAACTCCGTATCGAAATCGTCCAATGAGATGAGAGGCGGACCGCCAGAGTCGATGCTCGTCTGTAGAGTGATCTCCAAGATCGTGACCCATAGCCTCCTACGCATTTCAGCGCGATATGGAGACATTTTGATGATCGATTTGGGGTCGCGGTGCAGTCCCATGTACATGGCAGTCCTGAGGAGGGCACCGGCGCCAATCCAGGTGAGATCACAGCCGATATTAGCCGTGTGACGGAGGTAGTGCATCAAGCAGCGGATCTGAAGCCCGGGAATGGTCATCTTGGACTTCTCGCAAGGCGTAATGAGCCAGAACATGGCCTCCCAGAACCACTGGATGGCCAAGTTCCGTAGGGTGAAGCGTTCATCGTGCATCGTGGCGCCGATGCCCATGCACAACTGCATGGTGATGATGAAGGAGTCGCTCGCGTCAGAGGGGTTGAGCCAGTACTTTTCATAATCTGCCTTGAAGGTTGGAACGTGGATGATGCGGTGGACGGACTCAAAGGTGCGGAGATAGTTGTCGATGAGGACGTCGGCTAGATCTCGAGAGGGCATGCTCTTGCCGGTTGAGATTGTGCTGAATGAGGGAGTCCGGCGGGCTTTGATGATGCGGCCTAGCTTCTTGCATTTTTCTAGGTCGACGTATAGTTGTGATGATCGACGGTTCTCGAATTTTCTTGCAAAATTGACAAGGCGGTACAACTAGAGTAAGTGTAAGCGTCTACTGCGCTGGTTCAATGCGACAAGGAGGGAAACTAGTTTCGCATGATGGACCATGGTCTGGCACCCAACTGAATGATACAAGAAAAGAAAGTAAGAGACAAACAAGAGGCACTCAAACCCCGGGCATAACAGATAGACCATTGTATGGTATGGTATGATGAAATAGAACAAGAGGAGAACATCACTAACCATATCAGCCGCGTTCATCCAATGACTCTGCCCAAAGTAACGAGTCTTGCTGACGCAGCCCCGGCTATATCTCAACCCCTCTCGGAGACCAGGAGTAGGTTGAGATACATCTTCTTCCCGAGCTCCATACTTGACGGTAAGATCCGACAACTGCTGCTCGAGCTGCTTCACCCGATCAACCAGCGAATTCACCGTCGACGAGGAACCGGGGCAGCTTCCGGGGGTCGAGGCCGTGTCCGCCCTCACGCTCACGGGGGCCGGGGGACGCGTAGATCTTACGGGCCGCCACGTACCAAAGTCTGCGGGGCCGGAGTGTTCTCCAGGGTTAGTTGCATCGAAGAGGGGGTGTCCATCGAGTGTCCTGGGGTTGTGAGTACGGGGGGAGGCTTCTGAAAGGGGCCGAGAAGTCGGTATGATTGGTTCTGGAAACCCGAGGCCTGACTCGCTGGCCCTCGTTGAACCATGAACAGGGTCTTTGAAGTTCTCTAGCCGTGTCCGGGTGGGTAGAGGTGTGCTTGCACCGACGGAGGAAGAGGAAGAGATCGGGGGCCTCGCCCGCAGGGATGAGGACGCGGGGAGGATAGGGTCCGGCAGGCGGAGAGCAGTGTGGAGAGCACCACCGTTATCCTCAGCCCCATGCTTGGGACTCTTCCTAGATGCCGGCTTTGTCTGCGAGGTGTATGTGCAGAGGGCGTGCTTAGAGCGGACGCAGGTGCTGCAGGGGAGATTCCTATCGCAGCGGACTTTACGACGGCGGCATTGCTCGCATGCCAGGGCTGGTCTGCGCCGCTTCTTCTGCGCTGAAGGCTGATCCGGGCTTCTCAAAGATTCCATTCTGGGAAGTGAATAAGTTCTGGTTTGGGAGATGGGAGATGGGGGAAGGATGCGATCGTGGGAGGCGGGCTGGGCGACCTTGGTGGGAAGCTCGGCTTTTTGAACTGAGTCCGAATTTCACGCTGGTAAATTGGTCCCGGTTTAGACTATGCTGTTGCCTAGTCCGAGAATAGGCGGATCAAGGGTCATCAAGATAGTAAAAGTGGAATATCTTATCAATTGATGAGATAAAATCTGTATTGTGAAAGGGGTTGAGAACGATGAACATGATGTTGGAGGAGTAAGACAGGGCTTATCCCCGACATGTCGTCGGGATTCTTGCGCTTGTAGACCGTTCCGCCCGCCATACACCGAGGTTTTCGGCAGTTTGATTGGCTTAAAGACCTCGCAACGAAAACACCGAGCTGCTTTTGAATTTGCCGACTCGCATCCTACCGGAACTCGGACTTGACGCTACGCGTAGTACCGATAGCCATTGCGATACGAATAATCCGTATATAATGTCTCTGTTGACAACAATTTGGTTGCCCATGTATTTCTTTATCAGGGCAGATCCGACCTCTCACTGCCTCGCAGTCCGCGTTCATCGCGCCTTGTATTTATGTCTTTCTAGTACGGAGTATCATTGTACATTTCCCATACTTTTGTTGTCTATATGGACGTACTGGTGAAATCGAGTACGTGGTCATGGCCGAGGAGTATTGACCTCACGTACGAACGCCCAACGTCTCGGTTTCCTTGGCGACGGCAACCGGAAGGTCTCAACTGACTACTGAGAGAAACACTCTTAAGAACCTGGCGATTCAGGAATCTGTCTCCTGGTGCTTTAGAATGAAAATGCACGCCCCAACATTAAAATTTCGGCGGAAACACTAATTTACTTAATGCTATGAGTATCCGCAACTCCGCCGCGTCCACGTCACTGAGCTGCCCTCGGCTACGTTCTGAAATTCAAGTCCTGCTCGTCCGCGAAAGAGACCAAGAAGATCGAGGGTGAGCTCTGTGTTAGCATTATTCGATTCCTGTTAGCGCTACTGCTAAGATGACTTCTCAGAAGATGACGCCAGAAAGTTCGAATCATTCTAGATGGGTATGTTTTTCTTTCTGAATTACTACACCTTAGAAATCTTGAGGCGTTTGGGACCAATAAGCAACAAATTTCCAAAATACTAAGGTAGGTACTAGAGTAATGACAGGCAGGCAGTTTCTAAGGCAAATTGATCATATTTAACGTCAAGTTCGTACCCGGTGTGTTTTCTTCCGGGACGAAACGTTTCTAGGCAAAGACTCGCAAGGCATCTCCCATCGACTCCAGAATGGATAGTACATGCGTACGTATTCTCATGAGAGGCAACGGCTAATTATGGATCCGCAAGTCCGAAGTACGGATATTCCCCGGCGCCTTGGCTTCCCAGAAACTGCAGTGCACGCCGGTGTCCGAATTTGACAAGCGTAGCTGTCATTTCGCGCTCTGGTTCCGAGCATGTTGAAAAAAAGACGACACAGAATCGCACATCTTACGTGACCAGGAGAGTTCAGCACAATTGCGTTGCGCAGTCTGAGTCTTTTGTATGATATTTCCCAGTACCTCGAACCAGATAATGGAGTCGTCGACGTTTGATGAGGCGACACGCCACTGGTGTAGCGTAGCCCCCAGAACCAAGAGCCAGACTTGTTTCGCACTGATACGCTGATCTAGAGACTCTTCGCCTTTGACCTTGACCGGGCTACCGTAGTATCGAAGATGTGATAAGGCGAGGGACCATCTGTTGAATGCTCCTTTATGATCGACGCGGTACTCTAGGCATAAGCTGAGCACTGCCGAGTCCTGGAAGAGATTGTCTCCAAAGACGACATTATTGGCGTTTTCTTGAAAGACCAGTAGATTCGGGTATAGATGCCACGATGATATGGCGAATAAGACGATCCTGTTGTCCGCTTGTTGAGGCTTGTTGTTTAGAAGGCTCTACATTGTCTCCAATGCACGTATCCAGGCCTTCGTTACTTTCTCATACATCGTTCCGGTATCAATAAATGGGGTCCTCACATTATTCATAATGAGGGTAAACTGGTTCCACTTCAGGTCCATGGAGCGGTCAGCTCGTCGGAGCCAGGCTCTTGCGCTTGCATCCTACCTGGCGAGATCATCTCGGGTAATGTCTTGCTGTATGGCGAGGACGGTATGAGGGTTGACTAGTTTGCCAATGTCGATGAGCGTTTGAACTTGAGCCTTACGATCACGAGTCAATTCAACCCAGATAGATGTTGCAGTTTTGGCGTCCCAGGCGCGTGCCAGGATGCATGGTAGCAGGTACGCCCCAATAGACGCGGATGTAGAGGTTGCGGCAGCCCAGATACAGGTCCCATCAGCGCCAATGAAGTCTTTGAAAGGGCCATCGTCGGTCGTGCCCTGAGGGTTGATGTTCGGACTGTCTAGTATCTCTGACGCCCGAGTTCCAAAGGCTTTGAGTAGCTCAGGAGTGTCAGGCAAGATGTCATTGAAGAGGAAGCCAAGCCGACAGGCGGTTTTGTGCAGGATGCCGTCTCCTGCTTCTCTCTTTCTCCGTGCTGTAAGGGCTGAGCCTACTCGTTGGAACTCAGCCGCAGGGTTGCAGCGGACGAGTGAGATATCTAGGTTGACGTTGACAAGGGCAAGCGAGAATTCATTTCTGTTTGAAACGAGAGAGGCTTGGAAGTCGCCGAAGTTTGCCATGATTCAAATACTATATCGTGATTGGCAGGCTCGGACAGTAAAAAGTGAGAGGAGAAAGCTCAGGACCGTTGACAAAGGTGATATCTGACTTGGTGTGTTGAGGAGAATCCTGGGACCTTTGTATGTGTAGGAAATTCGAGGAGTTTTCTTCATAATCCCGTAGTGTACTCAGCCTCAGCGAGACATTGAACGACAGGAAGATTCGCCTCGCCCGCGCCCAACATGACTTACTCAGGCTTCCACATTTGAGAAGGACTGCCCGTTTCCTATTCGTTGGTTACGCACATGAATCCGCCTAGTTCAGAACTCGCATACGCCACCATGTCCTTCAAGTACGGCCAGATCATCCGCAGCCCTAAACTCCAAGTATCTACTTAGCTAGTTAATAACAGTTCAAGGACACTGATAGTAGTAATTTCTCTCAAGACATGCGATGCTGAAGTACCTGGGCACTTTTCGAATGAAAATGGACATGACATAGTGGGTTAGATTTGCCACCAATTCACATTGAGAGCGTGAGGCCTTTCTGAATACGCCGACAAGGCGGCACCTCTGCATTTCTGTGGTGTTCCTCTAGCCCGAGCAGCCCGATTTGATTAGGTAGTCCAATGCCTTCCCGGCAACTCAGACCTGGCGTAAATCCAGTCCTCTCTCAAATATTATATGACATGTGTTGCTAGCGTTGACAACATGTAATCTTATGAAGCAACAATAGACACGACACATTACTGACAGCTTCTGCGCGCGGGGCGGCACTCAAGGGGCGAGATTTACTTGAAACATAGTGCTACGAGACCGTCACGCTTTTGGAATCTGGAGACTTGATGCGGCCATGTGCCACTGAGATGCATGTACATAGCACAATGGCGGAAAGCACAGGGAGGGCTTCATTTTTTCAACGGTAACTGCTTGGATTTCTAGGTAAAATGGGAATAGGAGACCAAATGTACAAGACAGAAACCTCTTCCGCACCCGAGATGCAGCATTAGTTCAGGAGATCATTGTACACGGGAAGTAGGTTGTGGTTAGGGAAGGGGTTCGTTCCTCGTTCGCCGCCAAGCAGATGGTATATGCTTCGGCCCGTCTTTCACTGCTCTCCGCTTCCTCCCTTTGGCGAAAAAGCCACAGGTCATATCCATCGGCCTGGATGTCTATAATTCTCTCACGCCGGGTACGCCTCTTCGAAACTTTCATCATGCCTCTTTTTGCCTCCGCACGCGCAACACAACGTCAACAACAACGACAGCAGATTCTGCTTACAGAAGGAGCTCGAGGGGGTTCTCGAGGACCTTCTTGAGCTCCTTGAGGAACTCGGCACCAATGGCACCGTCAACGACCTTGTGGTCGAAGCTGCCGGTAATGGTGATCTGGTCGTCGAACTCGACGCCGGTGGTGCCGTCCTCGGACAGAGCGGGGACAGCAACCTTCTTGGTGGTGCCGATGGCGAGGATGGTGGACTGAGGGGGGTTGATGACGGCGGTGAAGTTGTCAACGGCGTCGTTCATGCCCATGTTGGAGATGGAGATGGAGCCGCCCTGGTACTGCTCAGGCTTGAGCTTGCCGTCGCGCGCGAGCTTGGCGAGCTTCTTGACCTCGGTGGAAATACCCTCGAGACCGCGAGCCTCGACACCAGTGACAATGGGGGTGATGAGGCCAGTGGGGGTGGAGACGGCGACGGAGACGTCGACGGTGTTGTGCTGGCGGATGACATCGCCGCGCCAGCTGGAGTTGGCCTGGGGAACCTTCTTGGAGGCGACACCGATGGCCTTGATGAGGAAGTCGTTGACGGACAGCTTGTACTTGCCGTCAGAGGAGGCGTTGAGGGCCTGGCGAAGCTTGAGGAGCTTGCTGACGGAGATGCTGGAGGAGACGTAGAAGTGGGGGTTGTTCTGGGTAGACTCCTGGAGGCGGGAGGCAATGGTCTTGCGCATGCCGCTGATGGGGAAGTCCTCGTAGGAAGCGCCGGGGGCAGCGACAACGGGGGAGGAGACAGCCTTCTTGACATCCTCCTCGGTGATCTTACCGCCCTTGCCGGATCCCTTGACGTCGCCGATGTTGATGCCCTTCTCCTTGGCGAGGCGAACGGCGCTGAAGGAGGCATTGGGCTCACGGTCAAGAGCGTTCTCGAGCTTGCCGGCGGGCTTGTTGAAGTCGTCGGAGGAGTTCTCGGGCTCGGGGGTAGGGGCAGGGGCGGACTCGGACTCCTTCTTGGGAGTCTCCTTGGGGGCGGGCTTGGCCTCACCACCGGCGTCGGCGGCGGAGAATCCCTCGAAGGCGCTAACATCGGTGCCCTCCTCAACAAGGACGGCAATGGGCTGCGAAGGACGGGTCAGTTTGCGCGTACATCATTGCAGTGTTGTTGGTAGCGGCGTTGATGATGATGGGGGTGATGGTGAAATGCGCCAGGCGGACTCGACGAGGGGAATTGGGAATTGGAGGAGTATACGTACGTTACCGACGGGGATGTCCTTCTCACCGGACTCCTTCAGGAGCTTGGCGATAACACCCTCCTCCTGGAACTCAAAGTCCATCTGAGCCTTGTCGGTCTCAATCTCGACCAGGACATCACCGGGGGCGATGGTGTCACCGGCCTTCTTCTGCCAAGATCCGATATTTCCCGCCGTCATGGTGGGCGACAGAGCGGGCATCTTGATGATGGTGTGCGGGGGGTAAGAGGCGTAACATCTCAGGATCTGGGAAGAGAGGTTGCTGCGGAGGAGGGCATTCGGACGAACAGTCCGTCTCAGGACTGAGGAGATCATGGTGAATAAGTAGCTCTCGCGGGCGGCGCGAAAGCAGGGAGAAATTTGGCGATGGTTAAAGGGCGGACCGGGCTCGGGGGAGGCGACGATGCAAGAGGATGATCCTTTGAGACGAAGAAAGGACCGTCGACGTCGAACAATTGAAGCCTAAGGGCAATTGAATGACGGATTGCACGAGAAGAGGAGAAGGGGGGGGAGGGAGAAAGAAGAAAGATGGAAGACGACGCGGGATTATTCTGGGACGGCGAGGTTGATGCTCGAGATTGTCGGACGGGAATCTTTCCTTGGGGCTGGAGTTTTTTGCGTTGAGCTCCGTCGCTGGATGGAGCTTGGGGCGCTAGGCCGAATCGGGAGCTAGCGCGTCCCTACAAAATACGCCGCAGGGAGGGACGACCGTTAGGCGCACATTGGCTCACTGAGGGCACTGGGCGAGGCCTGGACACAGTGGACAGCAGCGCCCTGTAGCATACATACATAGGTGCCTATTGGTCTTCACCCAAGGCACAGGTGTGGGCAGGCAGGTACTTAGTTTCGCCGATAATTGTGGCCGGTGCTTAACGCCAATGGGCCAACAGGGTCCGCGATCGCTTTGCTCGCTGTGCGGTCTTGATTAAGACCGAGAGGCCAAAGGGACTTTTCGGACTTGAGATGGTGGAGTGGGAATAGCCCGGGAAAACAAGGGACCTCACGACGACAACATAGACCGTGTGTCCAATGAGAACAGACAATGTTGAGAGCAGTGCGGGTCTACGGTGATTGTGCTCCGTAGGTCCATTGGGTGATTGGCCGCAAGTAAGCGTATCGACACGTGACCGTTGATAAGAGCAGATAAGACAAGGCACCGATAATGGAAGACGGGAGGCGCGACGTTGGCACCTCACGTTGCCAAAAAAAAAAAAAAAAAAACCAGAAGAGTGGCCAAAAGAACACGGATGCCACTTCGCTTACCTCAGCTTCACAGCCCCACCTTTACACGGCCTGTGCTCCATCTCCAATTGCTGACATAAGGCAATTAAACACGAAGAGAGGTGGCCGCTCCCTGGCCACGCCTTGCTCAGCCCGCCACGTAAACCAGATGGTCCCGTCGACTAGCTGGAGTCCGTCCTCCTTCAGAAAAAAGAACGCTCCATGCAGCAGCTACATTAAAATCGACCAGGGCCACCTCGGATTACAGTGTCGCCAGCTTCATCACACAGTGTTCGAACGAAGCTTGAGAGTTTCCTCACCTTACGAGCAGCTCTACACCAACAGCTCACAGTGCCAGCCATCACCACGAGCACAGGAAATCAGGTAGCTCCAAGTGCCAGGTCCCATTCCCCAAGCTAAGCGTGGGACAGAGCCAGGGGTCCCTCCATTCAAAGAAATTTGGACCGTCATTACCATCTCCATCTTACGGTCTGCCTGCGCTGTCCAATTCGAGAGGACTGACAGACTACCTACAGCATATAGCGGTGCTGCTTCGTATTGCATTTCTCGACAAGCTGGGGCGACTGCATCACCAACCTGGAATCCCATCATCACCATCAACGCCATAACCACCACGACCACGGCCACCATAGCTACTGGCACGATCGTCCACTACCACGACTCCCGAGGATCGATGCTGCCGTCTCCGAAGACGCCGGATACACCACCGAACTAATACACTTCAACCTGGGGCCCACCCCTTGCTTTCCCGTCCTCTCCACGTCGCCCTGCATATGCGCATGCGCCCCTCGATGCCCGGCCCAGCTTACCTATATACCTTGCCATTGCCTTTGCTGCTGCAAGACTTCTAGATTGGCGTGTCGACTGTTTCTCGAAAACCTCTTCTGATCACGAACTGTCCCTCGACTCGCGAATGGCACTTGGTGTCTTTAGTGCTCCCCCATGAGCTCCCTCAAATTCCTCGTCTCCTCTCTGGAGGCCATTGCCGCTTCCAAAGAGGCCCAGAGGAACAAGCAGCTCACCGAATCTCTCCAAAAGACGCTCACTGCCATCAAGGAGAGTGATCCGAATTTCCCGGATCCCGAAATAGTCTTCGCCCCGTTGCAACTGGCGACGCGCACAGGAAATGTCCAATTAGTCACCGGCGCACTCGATTGCATCGGAAAGCTCATATCATACTCCTACTTCAGCTTGCCGACCACAGCAGACGGCCAGCAAGATGCTCCCGCTGACAGAGCCCCCCTCATCGAGCGAGCCATCGATACCATTTGCGATTGCTTCCAGGGGGAGACAACCGGCGTCGAGGTCCAGCTCCAGATCGTCAAGTCGCTCTTGGCCGCTGTCTTGAATGACAAGATTGTTGTCCACGGCGCCGGTCTCCTCAAGGCCGTTCGTCAAGTCTATAATGTTTTCCTCCTGTCGAGAAGCACTGCGAACCAGCAGATGGCCCAAGGAACACTCACGCAAATGGTTGGCACCGTCTTCGAGCGCGTGAAGACGAGATTACACATGAAGGAGGCCCGAGTGAACCTCGAAAAGTTGAAACACAGCTCGAGCAACATCACCTTTGAGCAGGGCGACTCTATCAATGGCACTACCATTGCAGAAGGAAAAGATGAAGAGGCAGACGAGGAAGAAGAGGACGATTCTGCCGCGGCCCCTATTTCCGAAACCGAACAGACCCCGGTCGAAAGCGAAGAGAATGGCAATGGGAAGCTCACACTCAAGGATTTGGAGCACCGCAAGAGCTTCGACGATTCACACTTGGGCGACGGCCCAACCATGGTGACGGAGATCAAGCCCGGAAGGAAAGCTGCACGATCCGTATCTGAGCAGTCCACCCCCGAGTCGTCCCTCGAAGACAGTCCCGAAGCCCTGGACGCCGAAGACGAGGTGTACATCAAGGACGCCTACCTAGTCTTCAGATCCTTCTGCAACCTTTCCACCAAAGTGCTGCCGCCCGACCAGCTCTACGACTTTCGTGGCCAGCCCATGCGCTCGAAGCTCATCTCCCTTCACCTCATCCACACCCTCCTCAACAACAACATTGCCGTCTTCACTTCTCCTCTGTGTACCATTACGAACTCCAAGAGCAACGAGCCCACGACCTTTCTTCAAGCCGTCAAGTTCTATTTGTGTCTTAGCATAACGCGCAACGGAGCAAGCTCCGTCGACCGCGTTTTTGATGTCTGCTGCGAGATTTTCTGGTTGATGCTCAAGTACATGAGAGAGTCTTTCAAGGTTGGTGCTTGGACTTTTTGCTTGGCTTCCGTCGTGCTAACACTTTCTTAAGCTGGAAATCGCAGTATTTCTCAATGAAATCTATCTCGCCTTACTGGCACGGCGCACAGCCCCCATCTCTCAAAAGGTGTACGTTGTCAACATTTTGAACAGGTTTTGCGCGGATTCGAAGGCCCTGGTGGAGACATATCTCAACTACGATTGCGAGCGCAGTGTAGACAACATTTTCCAGACCATCATCGAGGACTTGTCCAAGTTTTCAACAGCTTCAGTTCCGGTAACGCCCGTTCAAGAGCAGCAATACGAGGAACGGAGCGCGAAGAGTACGTCAGGAGGCGAATGGCAGCTCAGAGCTATCCTCCCACCGCCCCTCTCCGTCGCGCAAATCACACCCCACACCGAACCTGAGAATGAGATTCCCAAAGAATATGTCATGAAGCGTGTGGCTTTGGACGCCTTGGTAGATTCTCTCAGATCAATGGTAGACTGGTCCGCCGCTGTGCGCCAAGACGCCAACGGGGTGAGGCCAGATGGCGAAACGAGGACTTCCGAAGATGTGCGTCCTTCGATTGATCCGAGCATGTACGACAATCCGTCTCGTTTCGAAACCCCTGCGCCCTCGACGCCTGTCATGGAGGACGATCCGGCGTCGCTTGAAAAGGCAAAGGCGAGGAAGACGGCGATGAACAACGCCATCAAGCAATTCAACTTCAAACCGAAGAGGGGTATCAAGCTCCTGATCGAGAACGGCTTCATTCCGAGCGATAGCCCGCAAGATGTCGCAAAGTTCCTGCTCACCGAGGAGCGTTTGGACAAGGCGCAGATTGGTGAGTACCTGGGAGAAGGCGACCCCAAGAACATCGAGACCATGCACGCCTTTGTCGATGCCATGGAATTCACCAAGAAGAGGTTCGTCGATGCGCTGCGGACGTTCCTCCAGTCTTTCCGACTCCCCGGAGAGGCGCAGAAGATCGATCGTTACATGCTGAAGTTTGCCGAGCGCTACGTGATGGGGAACCCGAACGCATTCGCCAACGCTGATACGGCCTACGTACTTGCTTACTCTGTCATCATGCTCAACACCGATTTGCACAGCAGCAAAATCGCCAAGCGCATGAGCAAGGAAGAGTTCATCAAGAACAACCGCGGAATCAACGACAACGCTGACTTGCCGGATGAGTACTTATTGGCCATCTATGATGAGATTGCCAGCAACGAAATCGTTCTTAAGAGTGAGCGTGAGGCTGCGGCTGCGGCTGGCGCTGTCCCGCCACCATCAACTGGCATTGCCGCTGGCCTAGGTCAAGCCCTGTCAAACATGGGCCGAGACTTGCAACGAGAAGCCTACCTGCAGCAATCAGAAGAGATTGCATTACGATCAGAGCAGCTCTTCAAGACTCTATACAAGAACCAGAGACGAAACGCTCAGCGTTCTGGTGTCAGGTTCATTCCCGCTACCTCTTTCCAACACATCGGCCCAATGTTCGATGTCACATGGATGTCGTACTTCTCAGCCTTGTCAAGTCAGATGCAAAAAACGCATAACCTTGAGATCAACAAGTTGTGCCTCGAGGGGATGAAGCTTGCTACCAAGATTGCATGTGTCTTTGACCTGTCAACACCACGGGAGGCCTTTGTTTCTGCTCTCAAGAACACCACCAACCTGAACAATCCGCAGGAGATGATGGCTAAGAACGTGGAAGCCCTTAAGGTCATTCTCGAGCTCGGACAAACTGAAGGCAACGTTTTAAGGTCATCGTGGAAGGACGTCCTCATGTGCATCAGCCAACTTGATCGCTTACAGCTGATCACAGGCGGCGTGGATGAAAGTGTAGTCCCCGATGTGTCCAAGGCGCGTTTCATGCCTCCGCAGCGGGAAAACACCAGTGACTCTAGATCGTCCGCTCAGTCCAAGAGACGAGGTGGCCGCCCAAGGTCTGGCACCGGCCCGCAGGGCTTCTCCAACGAAATTGCATTGGAGAGTCGGTCGGACGAGGTGATCAAGGCAGTTGACAGGATATTTACCAACACGGGCAATCTCAACGGAGAGGCTATCGTCCACTTCGCAAAGGCTTTGACAGAAGTCAGTTGGGACGAGATCAAGGTTTCCGGTTCTAACGACTCCCCGCGAACGTACAGTTTGCAGAAGATTGTCGAGATTGCCTACTACAACATGACGCGTGTGCGTTTCGAGTGGAGCAACATTTGGGACGTCTTTGGAGACCATTTCAACCGGGTGGGGTGCCACAACAACATCACCATCGTCTTCTTCGCCCTGGACTCGCTTCGGCAACTGTCAATGCGGTTCATGGAGCTCGAGGAGTTGGCTGGTTTCAAGTTCCAGAAAGACTTCCTCAAGCCGTTCGAACACGTTCTGGCAAACTCTCAAAACATCGCTGTGAAGGATATGGTACTGCGTTGCTTGATCCAAATGATCCAAGCTAGGGGCGACAACATTCGCTCTGGATGGAGGACAATGTTTGGTGTCTTCACGGTAGCTGCCCGTGAGACAAACGAGAGCATCGTGAACCTCGCCTATGAGAATGTGACCCAGGTCTACAAGACCAAATTCGGCGTCGTCATCTCGCAAGGCGCCTTCACCGACTTGATTGTTTGCTTGACGGAGTTCTCCAAGAACATGAAGTTCCAGAAGAAGAGTCTGCAGGCGCTTGAGAGCTTGAAGTCAATCATCCCCCGTATGCTCAAGACACCGGAATGCCCACTGTCGCAAAAGGGACAGAACGCCACTGGGGAACATACGGCATCGGCAGCGGACACACTGCAGAGATCACAGAATCGGACGTCGGTGGAGGAGGGATACTGGTTCCCAGTGTTGTTCGCCTTCCACGATGTGCTGATGACGGGTGAGGATCTCGAAGTGCGGTCGAACGCGCTTGAGTACTTCTTCGAGGCCCTCCTCAAGTACGGCGGCGAGTTCCCACCAGACTTTTGGGACATTCTCTGGCGGCAGCAGCTTTACCCCATCTTCATGGTGCTGCGGTCGCGGCCGGATCTCAACAATGCACTCAACCACGAGGAGCTATCTGTCTGGTTGTCCACAACCATGATTCAAGCACTCCGAAACATGATCACATTGTTCACGCATTACTTTAACGCATTGGAGTACATGTTGGACCGCTTCTTGGAGCTGTTGGCTCTTTGTATCTGCCAAGAAAATGACACCATCTCCAGGATCGGCAGCAACTGTTTGCAGCAGCTCATCCTGAAGAATGTCACCAAGTTTACAGCCGAGCACTGGGCCAAGATCGTGGGGGCGTTCTGTGAGCTGTTTGCACGCACGACTGCTCATCAGCTATTTTCCGCGACGACCATCAACTCAACAGCGTCCATCGACATGCCGCCAAACGGATTGGAGTTCTCGGGCCCTCTCAGTCCTACCGAAACATCAATGGAGGAGGACAACTTGAAAATCAACGGAGCAGAGAAGAATGGAGAGAACTCTGACGGCAACTCGAGTGATGCACACCTCGGAAGCATCAACGAGGACGACCTGAAGACGCCAACGGCTCCGGTCGCACCTCAATCGCAGCCACCGCTAGAGGAGTTCAAGCCAACGTCAAACTTGCAGCAGCAGCCAGTGGTTGTCACAGCGGCTCGTCGTCGCTACTTCAACAGAATCATCTCCAGATGCGTGCTACAGCTGCTCATGATTGAGACGGTGAATGAGCTCTTTAGCAACGACACCGTGTACAACCAGATCCCGACAACGGAGCTCCTCCGACTGATGGCACTGCTTAAGAGATCGTACCTCTTTGCGAGAAAGTTCAATGCGGATAAGGAGCTTCGCATGCGATTGTGGCGCGAGGGATTCATGAAGCAAGCCCCCAACCTGCTCAAGCAGGAGAGCGGAGCGGCCGCTACGTACGTCGCCATTCTCTTCCGCATGTACGCAGACGACAGCCACGAGCGCACGGCGGCACGTGATGCCATTGAGCAGGCGCTGGTGCCCCTGTGCAAGAGCATCATCAAGGACTTTGTCGGTCTCGAGGAGGACAGCCAGCACCGCAACATTGTCGCTTGGCGACCTGTGGTGGTTGACGTCCTCGAGGGCTACGCGGCTTTCCCAGTGGACGCCTTCCAGAAGCACATCAAGGAATTCTACGTCATGGCTGTGGAGCTCCTCGGCAAGGACCTCACTTCTGAGCTCAGAACGGCGCTTCTGCTTGTCCTGAGACGCGTTGGCGAGGTCGGTCTCGGTATTGAGGGGATGACCAAGGTGGAGGTGGATCGAAGGGACAGCATCATCAGCAGTGCCACGGAAAACACAGTTGACGGGCCCGAGGGCGATGCCTCGGCGAGAATGAGGCGCTGATTCTTCGTGGAGCTTGTTTTGGAGGCATCATAAAAAAGACGGCAGAGCACGCACGCACATGGGGATGGCGTAATGGATAGACTGTAGGAGGGGATTATTTTCCATGTAAAATTACTCCACCCGGCTCGGATTGTCGAGGGGGTGGTTTTTGCGCAGTTCCGTGTCCATATTTGAGGTATTCTACTCACCGTCCCCCCCTTTTCTTGGTGGGCCTATGATCGACCAACGTCGAACTATTATTAACAGAAGTTGTTTCATTCCATGCTTGTCGGTCATCGTGTCCTTTTGTGTTTTCCCCTGAACGCCTTTCTTGCTTCCTGCTGAATTTTTCGAGGTGTGTACCATGTGTCTCAAGCTACTACGTCTCTGATGAAGTTTCTGAGTGACTCCGACTCTTCGGGGACAGTCCGATCCGGCAGACTACGCAGAGCATTCTTCAAAAGATTATCGTCCCTAGTCGCCTGCCTCAACAGATCCTTCAAGATGCCCATCGTCCGATGCGAGTGCTCCACCACGCGCATAACACTCAGCAACGTCTCGAAAAAGTCGATGAGGTTCAGGTGCATCAGCGTATCGCTCTTATCCACCATGTGCAGCGCCGCCAGCTGCAGGAGACCAACCTCGGACGAGCCCGTCAGGTCCGGGAACTGCGAGACGCCTACTTCGACGATGTTCAGGGCCGCGAGGCGCGGGAGGATGCGGAGGATGCGGCCTTGTGCTAGGGAGAGTTGGCGTTCTGGGAGGGTTGTAGGTTCGCCTTCGGATGTGGGAGACGGGTCGATGCCTTTTGCGAGGGAGAGGACGAGGCCGAAGAGTTCTTTGTCGTGGAAGATGCGGCGCCACATCCTTCCCTGTCCCGGCGCTCTCCTCTTTACGACTTCTGTTGCAGACGAGCTCGGTAAGTTACTCGGCGGTGGGAGCTCGCAGTCTACGTCGAGTAAATCACCCAGTACACGGCCCGCGCGCTCCCCGACCTCGACGTGCGGGCTAGAGAGCCAGCGGCGGAGGAGCTCTTCGACGACGCGGGGCATGAGGGAGAGGATTGCTGCGTCAGAGGGGGAGGCGGATGCTTTTGCGAGGATGGCGAGGGCGAGGAGGTTTGCGTGCGGGGAGGGGGAGCGGAGGGCTGTTAGGAGGGAGGATTCGTCTGCGAGTTGGAGGGTTTGGGTGAAGGGGACGGGGGAGAGGAGTTTTATTGTGAGGGAGACGAGGGGTTTTGGGTCGTGGGGGGAGGTTTTCAGGATTGTTGTTAGAGGGGGAGGAGGACTGGGAGGAGGGGGGGGATGTTTGTTTCTGTTGACGAGGTGGTTAGTGTTTGATTTGGAGGTTGGATGTGAGAGAGAGGCTGAGAGGGAGGGATGGGAAGAGAGAGGAAGCGGGCTGACCGTTGAGTTGAAGCTCTACATCGTCAAGGAGCTTGGGTTCGAGGGGTGTGTCTGGGGAGGCGACGAGGTCGTCGAGGTGCTTTTCGAGCTCGGCGAGGCCGGATATGGGAACGGAGTTGGTGGACATGTTGGGGACGATGCGTTCTGTCATCGGTGGGTGGTTGTCGTTGCCGTTGTGGGGAATACTGTTTTGTGATGGAGCCGTGGTGGTGATTGCGACAGAATCGTGTAGCTTGGGAAGCTGTCGATATTGAGCGTTGGAGATGGCGGGGGAAAGAGAGGGAAGCTCGATTTAAGGGTCCTCGGACGCTAAGATAAGATAAGAGTGACAGGCTGCTGGGGTTGCGTGGACCTGCGTGCGTGTAGGAGCTTCGTACCTCAGGTGCCTTGGGTATTTCTTGGAATCGATGGATGACGCTGCTGATGGCGAAGTATCTCTCTGGTTAATGTTGTGTCATTCTTGATTATTTGTTAAGCCATGAATGATCCGATGCCCACGCCGAGTTCTCTCAATGCAAGGTAGAGACGGAGCCGATATCTAAACGGCCCCGGGGCGACACCGGTGCCTGACAGCGCCGGCAAGCGGGGCAACAGCGCGTCACCCACCGCACTGCAGGTGCGAGGTGCGGGATGGGACCCCGCTAAAAAATACTCAAGGCTGTCGATGCACTGCACCGCCGTCCTAAGCCGAACCGCAACCTTGGGGTTTTTTTTTTCGCAGACCAAAAAAAAAAAGAGAGGCTGACTCCAACTATCACCAAACACCACACACACTCTCTCGGTCTGACGCATACTTCGCTCCTCGTAACCTTCCGACCCAGCGACTTCCCTTGCAGCTTCAATTACAAGCTCAATTGCGCGCGAGGACCTACAGACACAACAGAGACAGAATACAATGTCGCGCGGTGGTAGAGGTGGTGGCCGCGGCGGGCGCGGGGGTCGCCAGGGTCCCCAGCTATCCTGGGACAACGGCGAACACGCCCCCGATACACGACCCTCAGAGCTTTTCCCCGTACGTATACACTCCCTGACATGCTCCAGCCTTCCAATTTCTCAATTACTGACATGCTCGCCACCATAGGCCTACGCAATCCCGACAGCGAAGCCAGTAACAGACCACGAACAAGCAAACGTGAACGCCTTCCTCCTCTTCCGCCGCCAATTCCAAGACGGCCCCCTCTACACCCGCAAACGCACCTGGGGCATGGATCCAACCAACACGCGCAAGCTCTACGGCCAAGAACAAGTCAATGCTAAATACGGCGTGCGCACCCGCGCCACGGCGGATCCGTTCAATGCGGTCCCGACATACTCGCAAAAATTCACCCGCCCGGAGCGCGCCCTCCCCGATTTCGGGGGACGTCCGTTCTGTAAGGAATTCTTCCCGCAGGAGCTGCATGAGACGCTTGACGGGGACGACGTCGCGCCCGGGGAGAAGAGGAGGGGCGGGGAGGCGAAGAGGTTGAGATTGAGTCGGATCACGGCGTTGCCTACGGCGGAGGACGTGTTTCATGTTCATGCCGAGGAGGATGAGGAGGGCGAGGTTGGGCCGGATGGCGCGAAGAAGCAATTGGAGGCGCTGGAGAGGATGGGAGAGGGTGAGGGCGAGGGTGCGGAAGAGGAGTGGGAGGAGGGCGGGGAGGAGGAGCAGGATGTGGAATATGATGATTCTGATGCCGGTGATTATGACGCAGAGAATTACTTTGATGATGGGGAGTTTGGCGAGGATGATGGGGGCGGAGATGATGAGCATGGTGGTCGGGAGGGATCGTACTGATCTTTGGTTGAGGTATAGCTACCTGCTGAGAGTGTACGGCTATGGCTACGGTCACGGTGACGACGACGGCGGACATGGCAAAGGCGGAGGGATTTGCGCAGAGGCCTTTGTTTGCTACCACCTCAGACACAACTGTCACCAACGGACGAGACACGAGAGGCATCACCAGGCGTTTTTGGGCGGATGAACGGCTTTGCTGAGCGGATTACAGCTCCCTGATACCCCATCAATTACCTTATATCAAGGTTGAGAATACAATATACAGACACTTGCATTTCACTGTTTGATATCAAGGGATATTAATGTGACAATTCTGTAAAAAAAAAATAGGCCAAAAAGCAAAAGCTCGGGTGCCCAGTTCGTGGTTCGAACTGGACCCCTCCGAAATCCTCCATCCGTTGACTTCTCGAGATTTCATACCAAGTTCTGTACTCACGGACCAGGGCGTTATACCGCTCGACCATGGGGGTCGATTAGGCTTAGTTGACGAATGAGGCCTTGGGCCTGAGTATGGAGGACAGTGGGCTGCTGCGTATTCATTTCTTCTATTCCTGTGATGTACGACCCCGAGGACGAACCGTTTATGGCCATCGGGACAATGATGATTCATCCTCGTCGCAAGGCACTGATATGGAATCAGCCTGCGCATCCAGGTCATCAACCCGCCTATCGCAGCCCTGACTTCCCATCAGAAGTGAAGCAGCCTTGGTCCATCACATTCTGGGATCTCAATATCCAAGCATTACAACCTCGCAACCCTGATCCACGGCCATTTCGCCCGAGAGCTACCAATGCTTCATTTCGCCAATGCTGCCGGTATATAATTCTTTTCCCCAACCTGAACGCCGTTTGCTTCCCTAGACCGTGCCCCCCCCTTGCGTATGTATCCACAAGGACAATCTCTGCCTCGTTTCTACTCTCTCATTTCGTAGGGTATTGGCGCTGGAGCTGAGTGAGCTTCTCTCGTACATCAACAATGCTTCCCGCCGCCTCGTAAATCTTGTCGCCCATCATCTTGATCGTCTCCAGCAGGTCGAGGACCATGTTGAAGGCCGGCACCTGTGTCTGGTCTCGCAGCGATCGTACGCGCTCGTAGAGGCCGTGCTCGACGCCAGGCATGTGCTGCTCCATCTCCTTGATCTTCTGGACTTGGAACTGGCTGAGCTCCTTCAGGCGGTCGGCCTCGTTGGAGAAGAGAGTGAGCACGTCCTCGAGGTTGCGGTCCTGGTTGCCATTGGTCGTGTTGCCGCCCGATCCGCCGCGTGTAAGCCAGGTCTGGTGGTAGTGTGCGGGAAGCTTGAGCTGGTCGGCGCCGGCGAATGCCATCTTGGCAATGTCCGCGTCAGACTTAACCAGGTCCTTGAGGTGTCCCAGGGTGACGATATCCTCGTCCAACGTCGTCTTGACGCCCTCGTACTTGCGCTGGAGCCAGTTGACGTCGTTGGTAAGTTGCGCCAGGTCACCGCCGTGGGCAGCCATGAAGCCTCGGATCTCGGATGCGTGTGCCATGAAGCGCTGGATCATGAGATCGCAGTTCTCCATTTCGGACTGGATGGATTGTTCGAGGTCGTTGAATCGCGTTGTGCCCTTGATATTTGACATGTCTACGCGTACGCCAGGAACGCTTTGCTGAGTCGTCGACTGACCCATAGTTAAGCCGGGAGCAGAGCTACCTGCGGGTTGAGATTGGCCGCTGTGTTGTCGTGTTAGTCACATGCTCAATGCCTTCCAGGGGGTGCCACCTACAAGAGACCACCGGGCTTCGGTTGGTTTTGAGCCTGGCTTTGTCCGAAGAGACCACCGCCCGTGCCTTGGTTCTGCTGGGGTTGCTGTGTGTTGCCACCGCCAAAGAGACCTCCTCCTGCCGACGGTTGCTGCTGCTGCTGCTGAGGTTGCGCTGTGCTCCCACCAAAGAGACCGCCCGTCGCCGGCTTCGCGGGGGTTGCACCGAAAAGACCTCCACTTTGCTGCTGTGCAGGCTGTTGTTGCTGGGTCGCAGCCCCTCCGAACAATCCTCCGGTCTGCTGTGCAGGCTGCTGCTGCTGCTGCTGAGTCTGGGCCCCTCCAAAAAGGCCACCGCCACTTTGCTGTTGCTGCGGTTGCTGTGCAGGTGCCGAGCCAAAGAGGCCACCGGTCGCTGGTTGTTGTGGTGTTGAAGGCTTGTTGCCAAAGAGTCCTCCTCCTGCCGTCGAAGTGCCGCCGAAAAGACCACCTGTAGCAGGCTGTGTCGTTGCCGTCGAGCTTCCAAAGAGTCCTCCGCCAGGTGCCGAGGTTGTAGCGGTACCAGTGCTAGAAAGATTGGCATCGCCGTTAGCTTTGACGGGTCTACAATGAGCACATACTAGTAAGACTCTCAACTCACCCTGCGTTGGCGGCACCAGTGTTGATGCTCAAGCCACCGGCCGGTCGTCCAAACATCTTGAATTTTTCTTCGAGTGCGCCGAGATTGGGTTGTTCGAGGGTGTTCTTGCAAGGCGTAGGCGCGTGAGTTCTCGAGGTCGGGGATTCGGGGCAAAATGGTTTCGGTTGGTGATGGCCTTCCTTGGTTGAATTATTTGTTGCTCCTGGTTGCTGCTTCGCGGTCTTCGACGCGGAAGAATTGGCTGCTGCTTTGGCGCTCGGGCCACGAGTAGCTTTGAGAGCTCTTTCAGCGAGTTTTGCCTTGTCCGCCTTGATGAAATGCGACGGCTTCCCATTGGCTGGTCGGCTTACCTTTTCACCGTCCCCCGAGCTCAATTGTGGGTCGTCAAGAACTATCCCCTGTGGCTGGTGATTATCTATCATGCCTGTATGTGGCGCATGCTGCTTCTGGCCTGGACGGCCCTTGCTGTGTAGCCGCCGTGGCCCTCGCGGTGGTCCTCTCGGCGCGCCAGAGCTTCGAGCTCCAGGCGCCAAACCATTGAATGTGAAGTAACCCGCAAAAGCTGCATTGCCAACACCTCCACGACCATTCCCACCTCCACCACCACCACTTCTCCTACCACCCTGTTGTAACATTTGCCGAAGACGCCGTAAGACGTAAACACAGCTACAATGGACATCGATGAGGATGACGATTTCTACGCGGATGAGCAGCCCACCGAGCAGACCACTACAAGCACAACAACAGCCGAAAACGCTGCTGCTCCTCCAAAAGAGCCTTCGCCGAAAGTAGAGGCGCCGGAGAGCAAATCAGAAGAGCTCGAGGAGGGCGAAGAGGAAGATGAGGGCGGCACCATGGATGAAGACGAAGATGACTCGGTACATATCTTGCTTTCCACCATTCCAGAGCCTTAAGCTCCTGTTTTGTACTTGTGAATCGGCGACTGACTGTTCTGGCGCTTTCTCCAGGATATCGACATCATCACCGAGCGCAAAGATGGCACAAAGGCAGCACCCCCGACGTACGTCTTATTTTCTGTTCACCTATAAAGACATGAAACCTTTCTGTGCCTTTGCTCACACAAACAACAGACAATCTCGCTATAGCGACATCAGAAACATCCCACAAAGGTCAGCCTCCAACGACATGGCGATCAAGGCAGCCCCAGCAAAGGAGGAAGACTCTGCGAGAGCCTCGCCCTCCGACCTCCCTCTCGGGATCCCCAGCGCTGATAAGGCTGCCGCCGCGGCCTCCAAGTCTACGATCGACGTTAACGCGAATCCCGACTACCCTCCTGTCGGCAAGCCCATCACGGCGGTCAACATTGACGAAGGTAAGCACCCTCCCTCGCACCTTCCATGGTGTTGCGTAGCTAACACTTTTGCGCAGACCTGACCGAGAACGAGAAGCCCTGGCGCAAGCCCGGTACCGACATCAGCGACTACTTCAACTACGGCTTCGACGAGTTCACCTGGGCCCTCTACGCCGCCAAGCAGGAGGCCGTCCGCGGCGAGTTCAGCGGCGACGCTATTGCCGCCGGCCAAAAGAAGATGATGGAGGACTTTGGCATGATGATGATGGGCGGAATGAACATGCCTGGTGGAGGCGCCGCACCTGGCGGCAACGCGCAGGCTGGAGGCATGCAAGGAATGGGTGGCATGGAAGGTATGCCGCCTGAGATGCAAGCCATGATGCAGCAGATGATGGGTCAGGGCATGGATCCCAGCCAGATGGACCCCTCCACGATGTCAGCCATGTTCAATGGTATGCAAGGCCAGGCTAGCAACGCCGGCCAGGGCGGACAGGGTCAGAACTTCAACCAGGGCTTTGGTGGTAATCAGGGACAGTACGGAGGTTACGACCAGCAGGGCATGGGAGGCGGCAACCGCGGCGGATTCGGCGGCAGAGGTCGTGGAGGACGTCGCCAGTGGTAGTCACAACTACCTTCTATGTCTGTTTACAACGAGGCGCTGGTTACGTATGTCCAGCCCGGCCGGCGTTTTGGGGTTTCGGTGGTGAGGTCACACATGGTTTGCTTAGGAAGGTTCCGCGAACTGGTACGCGGATCGGCAAAAGCAGGCATAGAGATACCCTGACAAGTCATCTGGCATTTTCCTCGAGACTTGTGCTTCTATCTGCGTACAGTGATTACATGCAACCTTCATGCTCTTAACGCGAGCCTTTGATTCATGCTCAGATCTGCTTCTAGTAAAGCCTGGGCAGGTTTCCAATCTTCTCACGAAGTATTCCTGATTCAACCTCCACCACCAACATCTCAAAAGATGTTGGCGGTGATTTCCTTGCCGGTGGCAATGGCCAGCTCAGAGCGGTTAACGTAGTGTTGGTTCGCGTAGTCGTCCGCGGCATCCAGGTTGATGCAGGTGTGAGATGACACAATATCCACATCAGCGCCGCCGCGGGTCTCGTTGAAGGAGTAGGTGTTGAAAGCGAAGTTGGCGTTGCAGAGGATGTACTGCTTTAAGAAGTCCGCGCAGTGGTCTATGAACTATGTTAGCTACGTCTCTCTCAATACTGTGATGTAAAATCTCGACTTACTGATGTGAGCGTGTTGCCAGTTTGGGTCCTTCTCCATCTTCATGTGGTCTTCTTTGTAGTAGTCCGGGTACGTTTGCTTCCACATCAGGTGCTTGGGGCGGTCAGTCATATTTAACTGGCGCAATGAGAGAGTGGAGTACTTACAACGCAGTGCAAGGCGTGAACATACTCGAACACAGCAAGTGTGCCATTCTGAGTAGAGGTCGAAGCCCTCAGCGGCTCTCGGGTCCTGAACTCAGACTTGGGAAAGTCTTCATCGGGGACGAGCATGAAATGGCCTAGGGGGTTGAGCAACTCTACTCAGGAAGTGAATTGGCACCGATCACTTACGCTCATCAATGAGCCTATCCCAAGCAGCATCTAGCTCCGGAGACGGCCCTGAGGTGCTGGCCTCTTTGAACATCGCCGGACCTCTGACCTCCTCGAGGTTTCCCACATCTGACAGAAATTAGAAATACGTTTATAGCTTCTGTTGGCCTTTCTGCTCACTTATTTGTTGGTCGTGGGAGTGTTCGCTCTCGCGGAAATGATGAACACCAGTAGCGAAGAGAAGAGCCAAGGAGATAAAGAAAAGAAGCACTTGAGAGATGCTGGGCGACCAATTCCAACAACGTGGACTCGGCCCATGAACATGTCCCGGCTCATCGTCTTGAAGGTGAACGTAAGCTGTCTTCTCGCTTGAGCGGACGAGGCCCGATAGACGGTCGAGAGTAGTAGGCCGCATCGTGAACTGTGAGATCTTTGACTTCAGACAACCCTCTTGGCGTCACTGTATGGTTTATGCAGAAGGAAGGCCGGGCAGAAAGAAGTTATGAATGTTTTGAAGAAACCGAGTACTCGGAAAACCGTTGGTAAGGTGACATCCACTTTCCCACATGCACCTGCGATGTGCCCTTTCTTAAAGAAGACGAACCTACTAGGAAGGTCCAACGAGGCGGCTAAATCGCGCTGTCAATTCTTGATTACGAGCGTGTTTGCTCACTCTCGTCGATCGTGACGACGAAGGGGCCGTCAGATATCCACCCTCTTATCGTGTTTGCGTAATTCCTTGGAAGTCCTTGGAAGTAATTCATAAGCGATTATCACGACTTTTGCCCCTTGGTAGACCCCAACATTGTCACCACAAGAGTTAAAGAGGCGGTAAGCGCGAACCTGTAACTGAATCCAACGATGATTCTGACCTCGTCAACAACTTTTTAGAATGGTGTTATCCAGGGTGTAGTTCCTTCAGCAAGTGTTTGTGGGCTGTTATCGGTTCGTTGGGAGTGTTTGTCTGTTGGTTGATTATTGTAGATTTATGATGACACATTTTGGTGTTGGACCCTTGCCCCGGTGTTCCGGTCTTGGCCCTCGGATGGGGTTGAGAAAGATAAGTAAGTGGGTTTCTTCATACGGGAACCGAGAGCATGGAGGGGTTAAGCAAACATCGCGAGGGGTGAGAGGTGTATTGAAACGTCTTTCCGGGGCGTGAGGGTGTGAGGGTGTGAGGGGCTATCTTTGACCTGGACGAGACGGGGACTCGGGGAAGAGTCCGCGGGCTTCGGTAGCATAGTGTTGGCTCGTAAGAAGGTTGTTTGTCAATTGTCAATGACTTGAATCCAGTTGGGAGAGTTGGAGATGGTTCCCCCTGCCTCACCTGTCTCGGCATGCAGGTTTGGTGTTGTTGTTCATACCTAGCTGGTTGTAAGTGAAAAGTGATGGATGGAGTTTGCGAATAACTCAATCAGCACAATGGGAAGAATCTCAACTAGACAATAGCAGGCAGTAGCCATCATTCATGTCATCTTAGTCTGGAGCAGCTTCGTTCCATCATGTCATTACTCCGGTCCTGAGTCGTTTTCACACACATGAGCTTCAACCACGCAGTAATCTCGCGTGGACTGTCAATCTGGGGATAACTGCAACCTCTTCTTCTTCTACCAGTCGAGAAACATCTCACATATCATCAGGAGTCATTGCAATGAACCGAAACTCACATTATACGGGCGCCAAACTGCTGGTGGCAGAGGCGAACGACCTGGAACATGGCGCCCTATGTAGCCGCTGTGAAAAGGCCATCACCGGAGAGACTTCGCCCTCCAAATTCTCCCTTCTGAAGGTTATATTAGTTTTTATTCTCTGCCAAGTTCCCATCTCGGGATTGAGTTTCCTTACCTTCCATACCTTTCAGAACAGGGCTGGGACCGAAACCAAAGGCATCGACCAGCAGGACTGTAAGCAGAATCTTATGGATGAATCTCTGAGACTTTTCAGCTTACACTTAATTCTAAAGACTTTTCTCTCGAAAGCTATAATTCCACTGGAAATCTCTACGACATTGTAGATGCTGCCGATAAGTCACCAGAGGCGGACACTTTCTGGCATGATCTCCAAAAGAGTGGGCTTCATCCTCCCCACGAAGTATCGACGTGCTCAATACTGACACCAAAATCAACAGCGGACGGCATTGTCGCTGTCCACAGCAAATGGGCAAAGAAGAACGCACTCCCAGCAACGGTCGCTCACCCTGATGACCCGGCTTCCAAGATCTACCAAATCAACGTCTTTCACGCGCTTCATTGCTTGGTACGTCACGAGATTCATGAGACTCGACCGTGTGATACTAATAAAAGTAGTACCGCATTAGAAACAGACTAACATCAAAGATCCCACTCGAGAAATGGCCACGCAACGACATCCACACCATGCACTGCGTAGATCACATCCGCAACGACCTGATGTGCCACGCTGACATCTCGCTCTCGGGCTCAGATGAGTATGTTTCGTTCAACTCGCATAGTCACCACCAGAAGTGCAGAGACTTGGGTGCCCTTCAGAGGTGGGCGAAACGACACAGTTGGACTGGCTACAAGGATTATCTGGAAGGCGTTGTCGGGTATGATTTTAACGAGGCGGAGCGCGTGAATATGGCTATGGCTGGCAAGGGGCACTGGAACAAAGCGCAGAGTACGCTTGATAATGAGACTGGGAAGATCGAGCTTTGGTTTGAGGAGGATTGAGTAGGCGATATTTTCACCGAGGCTATGCTACCGGTGTGTCGTTTGAGTTCACTTGACAAAAGCCAAAGAGTGTCTGCTTGCAGGCAATCAACAGAAAGCCAAGTCATTGTACAATTTCAACTTCAGGACTCCGAGAATCACGACATATATCTTTACTATAGAGGTCTTCAAGGTAGTAAATTTGAGTAATTCCTTGATTTCGAGGCAAAACAACGTCGGTTGTCCGGGAATTGTGCCCGAAGACAATGGATTCATAGCAGTACTGAAAAAGGACGGTAGCGAACCCGAACAGTGGCTTTCGGCCGAACACGTAAGCCGCCATGAACTGCCCCCATCTTCCGTGCAAGGAGAAAGCACCGAGTCCCTGAAAACGCAGAGAGAGATCAAAGAAACCCTTGGCTGGCAACCATGTCGGACAAAGAGGGAGAGATAACACCGCCATCATGTCGGGACATATGAACACGTTCAGAATCACGCAAACGAAATAGCACACCATGAGACCTGAAAAGGTGGGATTTGATATCAAATTACATCATTTATCGAATTCATTTGTATTACGGAAACCAAAATAATGTAGATAGATACGCTGGCCATATTTGCTAGGGAGTCCTGAACATTCCATGCTGTTACACGGACGTGGTGATGCGGCCCATCGTATCCCAATCTCGGCCAACTTCTGGCTACACGAACTGGATGTTAATTAGCTGTCCAGTAAACCATGACGACCAGGATGTCGAAGTGAAGTTCTTACCTTGTTGATGAATTAGAAGCATTCAACACAGTCAGTCGAGGCGTCGGTTGTAGCTTCTTCGACAGGGCCCTCGTCGCCAAACGAGGCAATGGAAGGGCTTGCGTAGATGAATCTAGGGTCGAGATCTGCCTGGGGCTGAACCGGAGCAGCGAAGACAGAAGCCATGATGGCAGTGACGGGGAGGAAGACACGAGTGAAGAGCATTTTGAGGCCGGGACAGAGATTGAGGCTTGTGATTGGGGGTGAAGTCTTGAGCTTGGATGTTTGAGATGGATTCTTAGGATTTCTCCCTCTGCGAGAGTAAAGGGTGAATATTTTATGCTTCGAAATGGTAGATTCGAAGACTGTTCTCGGCCCCCATCGTGATGGAACGGGAACAAGCTTTCATCCCTATCATCGCGGCAAGAATCTCATCCTGCCTTCAGACTCGGAGCTTCAAGACAAGACTTCGTCGTCGGATTCGGGTTTGGACGTGATAAGCGCGAATGTGATATATGTGATGTTTGCATTTTGTGAAACAAACTACATGGCGTTGGATGGCAGGCGGGCTTTGTTGTTGGATCTTATCACATGGTGTTGGGTCGGGTTTTGGCTATGTTCAGGGCACGTCCTTGTCCACGCCGGGGCCACGAGTTCATCCAACGACTTTACCCACCAGTGGGTGAAGTCTAAACAAAGGATTGACAAAGGTTGCCAAGTATACAAGAACATGCTTGCTCGTCGGCGGCTCGGTAATTCCAACTGAAGTGGTTTGTGCGGGCGTTTTCTTCATGGGGGCCGGGCGGGCGACCCTGTCCAGATTTGAGGGAGGAAAGCCAACGGCTGTGTTGACCAACATGCATATCGGAACTGCCATCAATGGTCACCAATCTCTGGATACCTTCGAATGCGGAAAAGCATCTCCAGAATATGCAACAGCCAGGAAAGATTGCTCGCTACACTTGTTTAGGATATTGCACCTGCCAACGCCGCGGATACCTTTCATCAGTGCAACCCTTGTATGTTTGCTGCCGAGAGGGCGGTTGTACACGCAGCAGGAATAGCTCAACGGCATTCAGATTCGAGACAAACATGATACTTGATAGTTGATATCTTGGAGAATTGCGAAAAGAGAGTCGGCAACGCGGAGAAGGAAGGTAGTAGATTGCCCCGATCTCAACCTCCCTGTGCCTGCTTCGGGACCTAAGCCTCTTGTCCGAAGTCTTTCCACCTGTTCTTTCGCTTCTGCTTCTACTCCCCAACTCTTGAAGAATCTCACAGACACTCACTATCGGGAATATCAAATATCTTTTCTGTAGACTGCAAGACTCGCCAACACATCACTCATCAGGTTCGGAGAGTCCTCATGATGAACTTCCAAGACGACCACGAGGCCGACCTCCCTCTTGGGAAGGAACACATCGGACAACAACTTGACTCTCCAGTAGACCGATGTCGATGCCACCTTTCAAGGTTTCTTTGCTGGGTCGCTTTGAGCATACTTCTTCTGTTCGCACTCGGTGCTTTCAGCCACGAATACTCTTTGTTGACCGTCAAATCCTCTCAACACGCTGTTCCAAAACACATCTGCGGCTCTACGGTCCCCGAAGCAAAGGCTAAAGGCTGCGTTTTTGACGTCATGGCCTATGGCTGGGTTCCGTCCCAATGCTACAACGGCGACCTCGTCAGCACATACAAAGCATACAACATGAGCCCATGGGCATTCGACAAGAACCTCACCAACCCAGCTCCGGAAAAAGTGCTTATGGCTGGCGAGAGAAGAATCCTCTATACGGACCTGCGCTTCCACCAAGAGCACTGCTTTTATACATGGCATAACCTGCTCCACAGTGTTAAGCATCAACGACCCTTAATTCACAACTTGTCGGCGTCAACCGAACATCGGCATCACTGCAAGGGACTATTCTTGCATGGGGAAGCGCCCACGGGCCCTGTAGTCCCAGCTTTCTTCCATTGTGTGGATATGGAACAGCCGTTTTTGCTTCGAGAACACATGTATGAAGAGACGTGAAGCTGCACAGGTCGGAAAATTTGGTCCGAGGCAACAGTCTTTCACGCTAGCCCACACTGTGGGTGACTGAGGCTTTTATCAGGATAGACAGAACTCTACTGCGTGTCTTCTTCGCGTTGGTCCACGCAACTTCCAGGCGTTGAATGTCGCGTGGCAAGCTGAGAGCGGCGCGGAGAAAAGCGGTTGGCCTACCACCTCTTCTCTTGTGCCCCAGCTAGACCCCAATATCAATAAAAGCCTGTGTCGTACTGCCAAAGCTTGTGTCTGACCAAAGCAGCGCGGCAGCAAAGATCTTACCAACAACTCAATTGCTCCAGTGAAAAATATGGCCGTGGAAAGCTTTGCTAAAAAAACCCCTAGCTCAGCAAGCTGCCTGTTCAGTGATTGCCAACATCTTCCGCCAACTGCCCGACTTCGCGCCACTTTTCTCATCCCTCACGCCTTGCTTCATTGTGTCGGATATGTCATGCGAAAACATCGGAATGATTCATTAGGGAACTACACACAATATTCCCGGAACCGCCTCTACCAAGTCGAAAATTTGTGCATCATTCCAAGAACTGGGCCTCTCACCTGGACTCAAGTGCTTAGTAGTAAGGTTTCGCGATTCTACCGAGAGGCTCGAAGCCTCACCGAGCTCGTAATAGATGAGACTGTATTTATGCGAAGGATAAGTAACTTGGTCATTCCATCAAGCTATACCATGGCATGTACTGGCCGAATCACATGATTTCCAAGTGATCTTCGGTGTTCTGTGTCGACTGGTCAAGCCAACAGCCTGCTTTTGTCTGGTGCCTTGACCTGCTTCTGCTTCACGGTCGTTTCTGCAGAGTGAAATTACGTTGCAGCATACGACTTTCTGCTGTGTGCTGGACATCCCCTCAAATGTAGCGAAAACTTAGAGTGATGGGTCTTGCTTGACTGATGAGCTTGCGGGAAGTTACAGAAAGACGGTTGTTTGTGGACAGCAGCGATTGTGCTTCTTTAGTTGTGACAAACTAATCTACGATATAGAGAGCTTGTTTTAATTGAGCATAGACTAGATACAGAAAGAACATAGACTGCGTACTCATACTAGACGTAAGATACCAATAGCCCCTTATTGACGAAGAAGTGTATATGAAGCCTTCCTCCCGTCTCCAATGCCTCTACTTCTCAAGCTGGTACGACAACAAGTCCCCAGTCACAATTCAGTGATATTCTTTCAGCCTGAGCCATGGTGCTCTCGCCCTGCTTCTTTCCCTATCACTCTCTCACTTTGCTCCTCGAGCTTACTACCCACAAGATGGCAACGGGCGATCCACCAGACCTGAGGGACGAAGCGTGCCCCTTCCCCTGACCAGCCGGCCTCTCGTGGAGTGTGCTTCTGGTGGCCAGCCAGGCAGAATAGCTCCCACCTTCAGAGTTTGAGCGCCTACGAAGCACGTAATCCACTTCAGCTTCTGTTCACCTCCTCTGACCTCGCCGGCGCGGGTGGGGCGAACTTGTCTAATTCCCATCTGGAAGTAGTTGAGCTTCACCTTTCTTCATCTTATATCCTCAAGTAATTTTTTGCGGTATTAGATCACCTGAAAGAGCTTGGGCCAGGGCGAAGTGAGGCTAAAACCACAATCGCCGGGCACTATTGAAGGACCAGACGAAGGTGAAGCTATTCCCAGCGATTCACTGAAAGCCGCCCTGGGGCCGTCTTCTTTTTTTACCGGCTCTTAAATAGAGGTCTTCACTGCGATGGATTTTGACATCTTGATCTCTCTCCATTCCCGCGCCGAAGAATTCCGCGACCTTAATCCTCCTTCGCCGCCCCTCTTCGATACCGAACGCCTCCAGTATCCATCCATCTTCACCCACCGCGCAGTCGCCACAATGCCAAACTTCGGCTTGCCAGACCTCGACATGTCAGAATTCGAAGTGTCTAACTTGGACATGTCGACCTTCGACTTCCTAAACTTCGGTATGACGAACTACGGCACACCCGCTAATGAAATCGCGCTGGAGGCATTTCAATGGCCTGATGAAGCGGACCTCACGGCCGACTTCATGTCACCGGTGGTATCTCCGGTTGTTGAGACGTCGCCGTTTCAGTCTGATCTCGACATCATCGATGACCTCAGCGTGCCTTCCGCCGATAAGGAGTGGATATTTGACGTCCTCTTAAGTAAGTTAAAGTACATGTAGCCTTGGAGGCACTTGGGCGTGATTTTATATGAACGAAACACTGACTGTACCCTTGCAGACGACGTCATTCGTTACCGCTATAACGACCATTTCAGGCTTTTTCCTGGAATCGAGTTTTACAGAACACTCGTATACAACCGAGCTGACCGCAACGAGATATGGGGCCTTATTCAGCGGTTCCATGAATGGATCTCAAGTGTTGCAGCATCCTCTCCAACTGAAGCAGACGAGGCTATCGCGGCTTTAGAGCATCGTGCGGCACTTTACGGCTGGGCGGGAACGCAGGGAGGACTCTCGGATCTTGCGCAGCAGAGGCAGTCTGGACCTCAATCGATTATCTCAATATCCCCTTCAGTCGCCACTCCGGTACAACAAGGCGATGGAGCTAAGTCTCAGCTATCCCCGTTGCACGAACATGAGCATCCGCTACTTCAGGCGGAGTTGGTTGTTACCCCGGCCTTCGAATACAAAGGCCTGATTCAGAACATGAACCACTTCACCGAGGTAGACAACGCCTATGAGCGGCACGTGAAGCGCACAGGTGGTGCGGCTCCCGAAGACGACATGTCATGGCCTACTTCGTCAGAAAAGCAGCGGGGATACATTCAGCAGCTATTTGGAAGTATCACCAACGTCAGTGATTTCTTTGAGCTGCGAAAGGCTCGCGAGCGTCTTAGCAAGGCTGCGAATGTTCAACAGGATCCAGCGACACTTGATAACGAAGAGAACCCCAGGAAGCGTCGGAGAGGCCGCAGCGGTATTAATGCCCGCGATAACATCCCGGCCAGGCCTAAGGGGATAAGCAAGACAGATTGGGCCTTGGTGGATGCTGAGAACTCTTCCGCAGATCTTCTGGATGCCGTCATACATCACCAGATCTCTGGCGTTGAAATTGAGCTGCTGTGCTGGAGGCTGCTGGTATGTCATCAGTCCTGCATGTGAATTCAAAATCTTTCTTTGGCTGACCACATATTAGCGATCTGCAATGGAGCAGCAGCAGGGGTTCACAATGCGCCCTCTCTGGTCGGGTACAAGGACAGTGTCAACGTGGGAACACTTTGATACTTTTTCTGCACGATGGACTTCGATATGCAACAACCTTCAGGTACTTACTGAATGCTTTCTAGGTCTTTAAGCTACATATGCTAATCATTCAGTAGGATTGTAAAATGATCCTCCATTCTCTGACGCGTGCGGACTGGTTCTGTAAATATGCTGGCGCGCCTTCCAAAGAAAGAGGGGTGAGTTCCTTCGAATTCTCTTAAGATTAAAGGGAAATCTAATCACGTCACAGGCCAAGTTGAGTAACGACCTTCTGAATGGTCGAAGGAACATCCAGAACCAGGTTGGCCGAGAAGTTATCAAAGAAAAGACTTTGATGCAAGACTGGATCACAACGGATGATTTTGAGATCAGAGACAAAGCCGGAGAACTTGTCTTGAAGGGGGGCAACCTTGGTGACAAAAAGAGCCGCCAGCTCGCTTCAAGAAGTCATAATGGGGATTTTTGAGCATCAAGGGGGATGAGAACGTAAGGTAAGGTCAATGTGAATGAGACGTGTCGATGGATCACTCTTCAAGGGGCGGATGAAGGGGCAAAGTGCTGCTTTTAAAGAGACTGGAAATGTCTCTTCTTTCAGTGGATGTACTTCTCTATCCCTGCGCCAGACCTCTGGTGACGCAAAGTCAACCAATCTACCATTGTGAATAAGCAAAACTGGAACTGAATCAAAGCCAGCCCAATACTGTTAATACGTGATCAAAGTGTTTTCTGTTCCGGAACACGTGTAATCTAGCGTGTCTAGTCGGTCGGAAAATGCCTTCATTATGAGTCTGTGGACTACATCCGCCCTTACCAGTTGCTGTAAAACATTCATGTCGTCACATGAGATGAACATTGAGATCTCAGGGTCATAAGATCTTAATATACTCAACCTTTAAATACAAACAGTGGATGCGTTACAGCAGCATCATAAAGTCATAAAGTGCGACAAAAGAGCTGCACATAGACTAGTGGCCATGTTAATTGGCTTTCGAGTGCAGAAAACAATGTTATGAAGGAACACCTGACATCAGGCTAATGATTGTCTAAGTTTCTCAGAAGTAGCTAGGTAGCTCATACTCTCAGAAGATATGTAGCAAAACTACAACTTCTATACTTCTTCCGGCGAGAAGAAAGGAAATACCACCAGAGAAGAAGGGTGGATGCAGTGAAGACACCAGTGACAAGAAAGTAGATCCAGATATAGCCTGATACGACGGATGTTTGAGAATCATTTGGATACCAGTTGAAAAATGTCATGGAGAACAAAGTCTGTTTTCGATTAGCTCAAATTTTCAAATAATCGGTACCTTCGTTACAATGAGATCTGAACTTACTGCGAAGAATGTGCCCGGAAGGAAGATCATTGTTAGTAGAGCAATGGACCGCATTTGCCTCGAATCCCGTCCACTAGCTGTTGCAATATCCACATTGGTGTCTCCTTGAGCCTGGGAAAACATTGAATTAGTTGAAACTAAGTAAACTGGAAAAAGTGACCCGACCGAGGATGAGAAATCAACTTACCCATTGTGTGGCAATAGTCATTCCCTCAACGCTCATCGTACATTCTTGAATCCTATCTTCGAAGTCTTCCATGAGAACATGGAGTCTATCGTGGATCATTGACCCCGTCCTATTCATCGCCAACTCGTTCTTTTCATGCTCTTCCTCGCCCCTGGGCTTTCCGTAGGCTCCACCAAGCAGCTGCCCCTGGTGAAGACTAGATACTTCAATAACATGATCTGCCATCTTTCGAAGTTGACCCTTCCATGCTCTTAGGCTGTTCCGAAGGAATGTTGTATTCAGCCACGCAGACCTTCGAGAATGTCTCATATCAATCTTATCCTCTTCTAAAACCTCCTCGCCTTCGACCGGGTTTCCGGTGCCAAGCTCGAAGATGGCTCCTTCGATGGCATTAACCGTTTCTGTGACGACCTTCGCCATCCGGTCTCTTTCAAGCTCTGCGAATATCCCTGGCAGAAGTAAAGGAAATGATGCGTGGTCCGTTGCTCGACTTAATCGGTTGATTACGTTGCGTTCGACCTCTGCATTGCATCCAAACAGTACCGCAAAGGTCAAATTGCTCTGGGGAAAGTGGGTGGCTGTCAAAGCCATGTCTTCAGCCCACGTATTAGATGACCTGCAGTTATATACTATGCTCAAGGTCAACCCCTTAGAGTCTCACGGTTTAGATGAGGTATAATGGGGCTCATACCTATGGCAGAGTGGCCAACTGAGTCCGAATCTCCGAGTTTCATGGTGACATAAGACCTGGAAAAGACAGGAACATCTGCCCGGCTGATAACACGCGCTATGGAAGAATGTACGAAGAATCTGTCGCAAATATCTCTGAATGTATTCTGATCAAACGGCAGTTCGCGCACTTCCCTCTTCGCGCCTTTGGGAACATCTGGAAGATCGACCTGGTTTTCGCCATCTGAAATACCATGACTGGTTGGCAATGCTTCTTTGTCAAGAGATCCGAAGGATGGAACTTTCTCAGCAAAGGCTTCGTGATTCGAACCTAGGGACTGCAAACTAGGAAGGCTTCTACCTACACCTCCAAAGCATTTCGTAGCTGTGCCTGGTTTTCTGGCAATTCTTTGGTAGTAAGGCAAGTCAGTCTACTAGGTCTACTTTGAGTGGAGCTGAGGTTTCACACATTAGAACGAGACCCGAATCCTTATAGATTGAAGGAGTGCACTGAGATCGGTTAACAATCAGCAATATTGAGTAAGAGACAGATAAGGTGAGTTTAACATTCTCAAGCCACGACTGCCACTCTGCTGGGGTCTCATTAGACCATAGCACTGGACCCTATCTCAACGGTTAGCTATCTTCTCTCCTTGGGAGAAGGGATAGTACAAACGTGTTGATTGGTCAGGATCTTGACCACTGTCGTTTTCTGTGGCCTATATCGGAAAACTTTCTCAAGGTCAGCTTTGTTCAAGCTACTGTCATCTGATGCCCAGTCCATGACCGAAATGGATGTGAGATGTAGGAGCTTCGGTTCACGTTGCATTTCCAAGTTGCCAGAAAAGTTTGGGGATAGAAACTCTGCACCGTAATAGCAGCTTATCACTCATCCCGTGCTCCTCGGCAAGTAGGATGATTTGTCGCAGTTATGGGTGGCACAGCCTACGTCAAGGTGACACTTGGAAAAAGGAACACCGCAAACCTGCACCTGCTGCAGGCTCCGCCACCCATGATTCCTGCAGGCTGCCATGTGGTAGCACAACTTTTTTTGTGATTTGTACCAGGCTGGCCAATAGTCTCCTGGCTGTTCGCCCTGCTTTATGGAAAATGGAGTGCCATTCAGTCGGTGAGCCTGTTATGAATGACGTGTGACTTAAATTTGTGGTTCGCCACGGCTTTCCTCGGACTGGGCCTGATGGATTCCTGTGCAGAAGCCCTGTAAAAGCAGAGTTCAGCATCTGTGCCTCATGAAAGCCTGCCCGAGTTTGTTACGCACGTATGCTACTTGTCCGCATACTTCCAACTCCAAGTGCCTACTGTGTATGACGGTCGCCAAAACAGCCTACCTGCAAGGGAGCGGGTGACACCGGAAGGAATCCACTTGACCAAGAATCAATATCACATTGGAGCACTCTTGCATGCTTCTTCGCTCTTGTAATGTATTGAAAAGTTGTTTTGAAAATGTTTGGGGTGGTGATCTCCTGATTGTTGCAGAGACCTGTTACCTCATGCTCGTCGATGCAACATAAAGTGAGGCGTCCGAGTTTGTGACCATTATGTGGCTCACAGTGGCTGGGTCGTAGCCAATTCCATACCCTTCAATGGCAAATCCAGACACATCTTTACCCAGGCTCTCTCCAAGGCTCTCATCGCAATGGATGAGTTCTTGGGTCTACTTCATAAAATGCAGCTCTAATTCCTGGCCAAGGTTCTATTTACAAATCAAAGAACGTAGGTTGTAGATGAAAGATCGTATTGTTCATCGCTACATTCTTGTCATTCTTTTTTCTTTTTAGCAAGGCTCGAGGCAGTCTGTACCTACATGTACTCCGAGTGAAAGTCGTGCAGGCCGAAAAAGAGATCATGGCGACTGAGGTATTCCAGGGCAGATACACCGACGAAGCGGTGATCACCCAGCACCTCCGGCTCATATTTCCACGCCAGAAATTCCAGATATCTGTAGGAAGACTCCATCACGCTATAGAGTATCTAACTGGGACACATGCTGACAAGTCGGTCTGTATTTGCAGTCGGAGCGAGGAAGGTTTTTTTGTACGATCCCGAGAAAATTGAGACCGGTAAGAATAGTGCCCTTGGTCTCTGGATCTCAAAACCTAATTTAAATCAGGTTGAGCGGGAGACCGTCCTCAGAGCGATTGAAGCAGATCATTATGCTCAAGAGAATTGATCCAATCCGTCGATCATAGTAGGGTTTGCGTTCACAACCCATGGAATGGTGGAGAACGTTTGAGCAGAGAATAGAGCTGGAACTTTGATTGAATGAGTAAGCGCTGTTTGATAATCTTTTGCCACTCTTCGAATTGCCATAGTAATACACGTATGATCTACCTGGCAGCTGCTGATCGTGTCGGACCATCATAGTCCATGATAATTGCATCAAAATCACCATCGTCAATATTCGCAATGTGCCTCTGCGCCACCTTATTGAGATGTGCCTCCACGGGCACAGGAAGCTCGATAGCCGTCGGTGATGAAGGTGGTAACATGCAGTACCCCCTCCGACTGCATTGATTTTGCACCAAACTCAATTCTTGACAAAGATCAGATGATGCGATTCGCCTGTGATTAACAGACTGGACTATCAACATTCTGTTTTGAACCAGGGCTAGCAAGTCACTGATCAGTTGAGAGCACTTCTCGTGTCCTCGTAATCTGTCAAACTCCTAAGTGTTTTTTTAGCTGAAAGTCTTTGGAGCTTCAGTCCATAATACGAACCTCGGTAACGCTTCGTTTGATGTTGAAAGCATAGTTCTCATCAGATACCCGGACAATCTCAAAATAGATAGGCGTGTCGTGGCAATTGATGTACGGTGACATGCGCCTGTGCTTAAACTCCTGATAACCTTTCCATCCATCAAGGGTCCACACTATAAACTCAAGTATGAGACACCCGAGAGTCCAAATATCAAAAGATCTAGATATACGACCCTCGTTACCTTCAATATCACACTCAGGAGGCCTGTAGTTGGGAGAGACGGGGATTTCTGCCCCTGGTCGATTGGAACGACTCTCCTGTCCGTGTGTTCGAGTAAGACCAAGATCAGAGAGAACTAGGGTGCCCCTGCCTCTGGACTTGAACCACAAAATGTTTTCTGGCTTGATGTCACCATGTCTTCCATAGAGACGTTTCCCGTTGGCGTCTAAGTGGTCCGTGTCATTGGGGTCATGGATGTAGCTCAAAGCCTCAGCAATGCCACAGATCTGGCCCACCACCCAAAGAAAGAATTCGTGATTTCTTTCTAGTGAAGATTGCCGCTCCCAGAACTTGAGAAGATCGCATTCGGCCCAAGGAAACAATAGGAGGTACTCGGTAGTACCATTGGTACGGCGCGTGAAAGTTGCAAGAAGTGTGACGATGTGGGGGTGTCTCCCGCCGAATCGTTTCAAGTGCTTGACTTCCTGATCAAATTCCTGTCTATTGGGAATATAAAGCTTTTTGAGGGCAAAACATCCTGGGTCGGCAGATATCTAAGTTTCGTTAACTTTAAACCGAACTAAGCTGAAGAACTGAAGATAAGAATGGTGAGATAAGCCTTACCTCTTCAAGGGTCTTGTGGAAACCATGCTGCCAAGCGTGTATCACGATTTGCTTCACTTCCCCGAATCCACCACCCAAGCTCATAGAGGTTGCTCCGTCAGGTTTCATGAAAGAGACCGGATTGGATATCGTGACCCATGGGAGTATGTGAGTCTCATCAAAGCTATAATGAGAAACTTCTCCCTTGTGTGAGGATTTGGAAATGTAGCGGACGAATAGCCGACACTGCAATTTGTAAAAGGTTTCCCCATCCAGAGGATCCCATTCGCCAAAAGGACGATTCGGCTGATGATATCTCTGTTCTTGATAGTCTGTAATCTGGTCGCGTTGCAGAGGTAGATTTTCGTCAGTGAATCCCTCTTGGACAAAGCTTTGAATACAGTGACCTTGTTGCATGAGGACGAGAATGGCAAAAATCAGACGATAGCTTGCAGAAGTCTCAACCCTTCCCAAGATGGTGTTGGTCCACCGCTGACAGGTGTTGGAGGGAACCTCGCCGTGTTCCGCGGTAAGTAAACGTTGTCTGACGAGATGTCGAACAATGTTCGAGATTGCCTCTCTTTCAAACAAGTATTCAAAGAGCTTTGAGGGCCAGAAGTCTTGATCGCGCCCCGAAGGTGATTTGACGGCGTTGTCCCAGACCCTGCGTTTGATCTGTCGCTTCATGTGAGCATCATCGTTGGTTTCTTCCAGTTTCTCCAAGTCAGGTAATGTAGGGGTTATCCAGGTGGCAACAGCTGAGACTGCATTGGAATCACGAAGGTTTTCGACACGGACCGGAGGTTCATCATTGATCTGGATGGCCGGCGTATTCCCGCCAACTGTGGCATCTTGCTGATCCATGACGACTAAGACTGGAATGTATTCTTCTGGAAGAGTTTCGGAACACCAAGTCTCTACGAAAATTATTTAGGCGAGGAGGATAACGAAGCTTGAGTAGTTCTATGGCCGCCCACATGTGGGAATGAAAACAATGAGTCAAGGCTCATGTCACGTCAAGTATAAGATGCTTGTCCTCAAGTTGCGCCCAGCCTGGTTGCTGGCCATATGAGAAATTGACCACACCCTCTTGTATGGTTCCCACTTGAATCACACCTCGGAATAAGGCTTTCACTGAATAAGCCACAATAGGCAGCAAATTTTAGGCATTGTTCTGAGGGATTTGCCTTGCCCAGAACTATGACTGAAGCAGGCTGTGGCTACATGTGGGCTCGCCTGATTCTGCGCTCCTGTCGTCCAGCCACACCCACCTCTTTTCGACCCAGATGGATGACTGGTGTCTTTTAAGATAAATCTCTAGGTACCGCCCTGCATGCGGGGGCTGCCTCGATCAGGCGAGCAATCAGGACCTTGCCGTTTATCTCACCCACCTCATGCAGAGACATATTAACAGCCAGCTGATATCCTCAATGGTTTCATGCATTCTTTCGTCATCGCCTTCTAATTAATAGCTCTTCCAAGTTGTTTTACTCCAAATCATCCACCCCAGCTGCAATAGAACAAAGGAAATGTCCAACCACAAATCGTCCCAGACCCGTGGGGATACTCGCGCCATTGCTGAAAACCAACAATCAGTCTGTTCCTTCTCTTACTCCTACTTATTTCTAGTAGTCGGATCACAGTTTATCTGTGCTCGTTTGCCAAAGTAGCGATCTCCTAGGCCTAGAAATTTCCATTCAATGAGGCTTGTACTTCAGGGCGAGCCTGTCTCTTTTTGTTACTATTGCGACAACTTCGACGATCATGGCGGGGGCAAAGACTGCACTCACAAAGTCTAGAGGGAGTGACGAAGCATCTGCTCTGATGCAATACACATTTTGTCTAGTCTTCAGATAATTCTTAGCTGTGTGTACTGCAGAATTCGATCACAGTTTGGGGAACAAGATGTGGGCTCAATGATTTGCTGAAGAGGAGTTGATACTTCGACTGAGAACTTCCCAGGGCCGTATAATCTGGTGAGAAGGTTCGATAAGCCGTGAGGGCTCTTGACAGTCTTGCAGTGGACGAATTGCCATTCACCACTGCTACTTGAGGAACTAGATACCGAGGGCATTGCTGTACTGTACAAACGAGATGATCGCTCGCAGTCCGGGACTTTCTACGTCGATTTATTGCGTTCTATATAGCTGAACAATTTGAGAAGGAAGCAAAATATGGAAAGAGTTTCTCGGTACAGTTTGAGGATGTATGGCTAGTTCAGACAGTAGGTGGTTAGATGGATTAGCATCAAGGGCTTACGAGCCCTTTTCTAGATAAACAACAGCAAAGCAGATCAGTTGCAAGTCCGCCTGGAGGCGGTACAGTGAAAAAATAGGTTGCCTGTTCATTGAAACCTGGTATGGTCATGCATTAGTGGCCAGCAGGCTGCGAAAGCAACTGTCCAACTACGGCTGCCGTTGCCACACACACCATTCCTTTCGGCGCCACGCCTCCTTGACGATTTTTCTACTTCCATCAACCTAGCCGCTGACCCGCTGCTATCTCAGGTCTCAGACAAGCCAATCACTCACTATTGCACGACTGGTAGGTATCCTTGGCTTGATTGAAAGGGTGCTCAATATTAGGTAGCATGTAGGAGCTGTATGCGCTGATTGATACATCAGTGCAGGGAATGGTGTGATGCACCTTCGTGGGTGCGAGCTTTGTCTTCCCTGATGATGCCCATGTCCCTTCCACTCATCATTCCCATTTTCATAAAGCAGGCTTCGGTATTAATGAGGGGGCTAACGAAGCAGATGAGGAGACACGAATACTCCGTACGCAACATCATTGTACGATGCGCATCCGGGAGCCTTGCCTCCTTTTTGAGGCTGTGCCATGCACATCCGTCAAAGCTAGTGCAATCTAGCTCTCTTTCATTTGACCAGTAGAAATAATAATAAGGGCTCTTGAGGAATGCCTGGCGAATGATATATTATTAGTGCGCTTCCGCTGTATGAGGACTTGCGAGTGGCCGTTTGAAGGCTCCGTCGTCAGATGTATCAGGATAATTTGTCCTCAGCAAATCATTACAATCATTGATGGTTCCAGCTCACCATACATGGCCGATATGAACAATCCAAGGGAAGAAGATGATAATCTTACGCTGGGAGACATACAGCCTGGGCTCGATATTTGCAACACGGTGAGTCGTCTCCTCCTTGGTGACCTTGCCCCTGGAAACATGGTCCTTTGCACGCTCAACCAGCTATAACTCTCCCCATCTATTCTCGGAAATTCTTTGTTTCTTGACTGAAGTGCTTTCAAATTGTAGCAGCCTCGCGTCATACTTTCTCGGTTCAATGAGGACGTCGGTTCCTCGTCGATCAATGCGACAAATCCAAGACGAGATGAGCAAAGTCTGTCCCCTGAAGCCTCCAGGGCGCCCCTAGATCACCAAAGATTGAGTATCGAAGACGACGAGATCAGCATTCAAACCCAAAATGACAGAGGGTACGCAGCTGCTGAGCGGGCTTTCGATAAGGGCACATTTGCGACTTACCAGGAAACTGGGCCCGTCATAGCAGAGTTGGTCTTCGGACAAATGGGCACACACTTGCAAGGCAGGGAGCCGGAATGTGCGACGAAGACAACATTCGTTAAGTCCATGGCACTTGAAGTTCTCAAATCTCTCGAAAAGTACGACGGACGATCCCAAGGACCAAAATGGTTACCAGTCAACCACCTATTCAGAATTATTACACGACAGTCCGTTCTTCGAGCATTGAAGGAATCTCTTGCCGAATCGGAGCTTTCCCAGAAAGCACTGGAGAAATGTGCGGAAGCTGTGTGTCCCCCAGCTGGCTCAGGAAACACCATCGGGTCACGAAGCATGTTCGCGATCCTCACGATCTTGAACAGAGTTGAAGAAATTCGGGAGTACATTAAGCTTGGACTCTCGGACGACAACTTGCCATTCATCGCCGGTCCAGATCAATTGAGTCAGTTTGGCCAGCTGTTTCCGAAGGGTGCTCAATTTCAACACTCCCATGAGTCATTCGGACACAGTTGGTCATTCGAAACATGGGGTGCGTTGAAGGAGTGGCAAAAGATAATGCGGTCGCCTTTTTTTGCAATTGATCCTGGCGACAGAGAACGTGATATTCCTCACTATGAGTTGGAGCCCGACACAGTTTTGCCCTTTATCAAAGAGTTTCCGGCCACGTCGTCCACGATGACCTCTTACAGCAAAGTGCAGCGAGTTCAAATCCATATGCATCACCATACCATGTACAAGGTAAGTATTGATGAACCTATGTACTTTGAGAAAACCCTAATGTCTTGCTACTTTTTTAGGGGTTTAATGACGAGAACCCGTGCTTTGCCGTCAAAGAACTGCTCCCTGAGCTTGGCAACCAAAACACAAGCCGCGAAATCAACTTTAGAGAAGAGGTGCGGGCTTTAGCCAAGACCGTGGGTCTTTCGAGCCATGACCATGTCATCAAGCTACTTGCAACTCGGAGGAGAGGGGACAGTTGGAGCATGCTGTTTCCATGGGCTAGAAGCAATCTCAAAGATTACTGGCTGGAAGAGTCCCCTGATTCCAAAATATCGCCAGATTTTGTCAAGTGGATGTCCACACAATGCCTGGGCCTTGCAGAAGGCCTGAAGAAGATTCACAAGAGTCCTTCAGGCCATGCAGAACAGTTTGGCATTGCAGAAGAGTTTGGTATTCATGGAGACATCAAGCCCGAGAACATCCTCCTCTTCGACAGCAAATCGAACGTATATGGAACGATGGTCATCAGTGACTTCGGATACACTCGCTTTCATAGAAGAAACACTCGGTCAAACACCCCTGTAGTGGGCTTTAGTCCAACTCACAGAGCCCCAGAACTTGACCTTGAACAGACCATCTCCAGATCGTACGACATGTGGACATTTGGTTGCGTGTTTCTGGAGTTCATCACCTGGTATCTGGAGGGACCAACCGGAATCGAGCATTTCGTGAACCAGCGGATTCATGATGACAAAGGAGCACCTCCAGGCTTTTCCGAAGACAAGTTCTTCAACATCAGCAAGACAATTGGCAGACAGAAAAACCCGAAAGTGAAGCGCTCAGTCGAAGAAGTAAGTCAAAGCTTTCGAGAAGATGAAGCACAATGACATGCTGACTGCGGCGTCTTCCTTCTGCATGCATAGTGGATAGCACATTTGAGAAAGCAGCCACATTGCGGTGGTTACTTTCAAGACTTCCTGGATCTGATAGTCAAGGAACTCTTGCAACCCGATCCTAGAGAACGAGGAAGGTGTGACAAAGTCGCCGAGCATCTCAGAGATTTAGAGCGCAAGTGCAAATTTGGAACGCTCGAGTACCTCATGGGCGATGTCTCTGTGCCCTTGATGCCTATAACCTCATTAGGCAGAATATCGTCTCCACGTCAATCAAAAAGTTACCGACCTCAGCCAAGATGTCCTTCAGTAATAAGCTCGCTCTGCGATATTACTTGGGGCTCTTATAGCGACCGTGGGTCATCGAAGTGGCCACATCGATTTATGAACAACATCGACGCGATGCTCTTCAAAGGCAGTTCTTCACGAGATGGTGGCGAGGAACATCACCGGCAGCCGATGGGAAGTCCTCGAAATGGGCCAGCAATCCAGCCGACTGAACGAACGCCATTGTTCCAATCTGCTCCTATGGCAATCTCCTCTATCCCTTACGTTGACACTTTCTATCAGGGACCAAGAAGTGAAAGTAGACTGGATGCGAATGATCAGGTAGCCGCTCCGAGATATCCCCATGAACCCTTCCAGCGGGAACAAATGATTGCAAGCACCCGCGCACAGAGCAACCACTCCCGTGACTTAACGAATGGCGGACTGGGTGATCAAATCAGTGATATTAGAAGTATTGAGCATAAGAGACCCGGCTCTTTTCTTTCGGTTTATACTGATGGACATTGGTGTGGATTGAAGACTGCAATTCGGTGTTGTTTCGCATTTTCGGAAGACTCTCAAACATCCAGAAATGACTAGACCACGTCTGGGACTTATCATTTGTTACTACACTACGGTTTCATGTGGCGTTTCTATTCGGCGTTTTGTTCAAAAGGCATTGTTTTATTTACTTTATCGCTGAAAAAGGCCTTAATGTTTGATATCAAAGAGCCTATTATCAGTACAATTAGAGGGAGCATGTTTGTATTTGATGTCACGTTGGTTTAGGCGCATTAAACTTTATTTTTCGAGTGTAGTCCCATGACTGAAATGTTCTGGCTCCGCTAAACGCTGATCCATCTTGCCATCCACGTCCTGGTGATCTGCTTCGCTTCATCAACCAGACCAAGGTCCAACAGCATCTGAACAGTACCACGTGTAGAACTCTCAAGGGCACTGAAAACCCACGAATGGGTGAAACTTGTGTGTTCCCCAATAAAGACCGTGTTGAACTCAGTCTGCCAGAAGGCCGGCAGGTAAAGCTGCTGCTGAGGAACGATGGGAACGGCAAAGGCACCCGCATGATGCTCGTCCTGCTCCCAGCAGTGACGCTCATAGTTGCCGGTCCACATCTCATCGGCAATAGGTCCGTGAATTTCAACCATAGCGCGCTGGATGTAGGCGATGTGCTCTTCGACGGGCATGGAGCATGCCACAACCGCGTCGGCGTCGGGTGCATAACTCGTAAGCATGACACCTGGACCGGTTCCGTTGATGTTGTAGGATGGGTAACAAATCTGGCCGATGCCGTAGATATCGGTGCGTCCGCATCCACCGATGATGGGGTGCTCAAGGTGCTCCCAGAAGCGAGTCTTGTACTGCATGGCAACCTTGACGGCACCTAGGAAGACTGTGCGCTCAATAGCGCGGCGCATCAAGCTGGAGTGAGGCGGCAGCTCCCAGTACTTGAGCACGTTGAACGGAACGCTGTTGAAGACGTAGTCGAATTGCTCGGTGGTTGTGTTCTTCGACCAGGGATTGCCTCCAGTCTCACGCCAGATGACGTTGAGGTTGTTGGAGTCTTCGTTGTACTTGACGCTGAAAACCTTGGTCTTGTAGGCGATGCGGTCTTTGATGATGTTCTCAAAGGCAGCGGGAAGGCGACTGATGCCACCATCGACCGTGCGCCACTCGTTGGCCAAGAAGTAGACGGTCTCAAACTCCCACATAGGCCAGACGACTTGAGAGGGAGTGACTTCATCAGTCACGTTGAGGTCGGTGTGCATAACGTGAAGCAGGTACTCAACCTCGGAAAAGTCGAACATGCCAGTCTCAACAGCCTCCTTATGAGCCTTGAAGACGTTGGTAGCGTAGAACTTCCGTCTCTCAGGAGTCAAAGCTTTGAAGTCGTCAAGAGCCTGGATGGCCTCCTTGGCTGCGGTAGCGTTGGAATAGGTTGTGTTGGTCATAAGAGAGGGATCAGCAGCGATCTCCTTGCGACCCGGAACTGTGCCATCAGGGCGACGCTCCTTAGTGGCAACAGGCGCATTGTCGGAAACCTGGATCCATGGGATGAACTTGACTTGCAGGGCAGGATCCGCGTCAGCGTTGATCTCGTTGAGTACATCCGCCAGCTGGTAAATCATCTTTTGATCGTTGATGGGGTAAGTCTCGTTGGTTTCGGCATCGTAAATGCTGTGCGGGAACCGCATGGGTCCCAACTCGTGATGCTGGTGCTCGTCCGGAGTTGAGCCGTTAAGGTAGGTGGTGCGAATACGTCCTCCAACTCTCTCCGAAGACTCTAGAATCTTCCAGTTGTGGATTCCAACCGAGTCGAGCAGCAACTACGAATCTTGTCAGCTTCTCATCATAGATGAAGAGGTCTTGAAACTTACCCCAGTGTGCAGACCAGAGATGCCAGCGCCCAGAATACCAAACGTCTTGTTTTTGACTGATGCAACAAACACATCGTCAGGTTGCTTCTGCTTCAGGTACTCGACGCCATCGAACCAAGGTCCCATCGGGTCGGTAGCCTCGGCGAAAGTTGCACGTTTCCTCATCCTGCGACTCTTGACAGAATGTTCTGAAGAGCGGCCAACGAGCTGGCTGTCAACGAAAGCGTGCAAGCAACCTGAGGAAACATCTTCCGGCACCATCCATACAAACTTGGTCGGTCTCTGATCCGTCCACTCCAGATGGCGCTTCGCAGCAGGGTGGGAGCCAATGTGTGTCCGCCCAATCTTGTGGTGAGCTTCGAAGGGGCTTCTCATCCCGCAATCACCGTAAACAATGGACAGCTCTCCATCGAGAGGACCACTGTACTCGATGTTGATGTTACGGAGTCCATTTCTTTCAACTTCGAACGGACCCTGGAAAGAGACCGTCTCACGAAAGACGGGTTCCGCAACAGCCGCCTGGCAAAGACCGGCTGCAGCAGTGAGAAGGGTCGACCAACGAGCAGCCATGTTGACTATGACAGACTTTGAGGGCAGAGATGGCAGAGAGTAAGAAGTCTAGGGGACTCAATGATGATCCCCTTAATCGCTTCTGCCCTTTATATGACTGTCTGACGATTGCTCGCTACCATTGACAATGCATGAGGCTCAACCAAGTGAGGTTTCGATAAGCACCCGGATGGACATATTGGAGGCTTAGCAGATCTCTAAAAGCTGGGCACCATCTAATTAGATTACCATTAGTCCCGTCACCGAGGCTCTTGGGGTGCGGAGGTTGCGTTTAGTCGAGTTTTCGTGTCATGTTGCGCAGAACCGGTTACCGACTATCAGGACCCAACTCCGCAATCATTGCAACAACGTGGGAAGCATGCCCGAAGACGGCGCAAACGACCACAGAGAACGTGGAAAATTCTAATCGCGCATAGGTCATTACGGGGGGTCAGAGTTCTCGCTTCTTTGGAGTTCATATCGTTGGTGTCTTGGCGGGAGGGACGTTGCATGGGCCCGGTCTTGTTTACTATCCCGGCATCGGAACCGCGGGGAACCCCAGCTCGCTTGCTAATTACGAGAACCGACCATCGGCTCTTGAGTATTCTGACGCCTTATCTTGGATGAAATCTCGACCTCGTTCCCGCAGCTTGGGCTGCATAGGAATGGCATCAGGCCTGCGTGGCGGTAATGACGAGCGAGGGAAAACGATGGGAAAAGGAAGTTGGGTAATGTAGAGAAGCATTCGCTTGAGGGGCGTTAGGTAATGGGTTGCGGTGCAACTCCAGAAAATGGGGGCCCCGTGGTGGATGTCCGGAGGCCCGATACCCCATCAGGCAAGTCAAATGGTAGAGCACCTGGAACCTGAGTCGTTGCTAGCTGCCAATGTCTAGAACTCCATCCGTACGGAGTTGCGGACTCTTCTCGGTCTATTGTTCATTTGATGCTGGAATTGCTTACTAGAGCCGACAGTCTCTGATACTTCGGTAGGCGTGGACAGGCAACTTCGGCTGAGGATTTCCCAATGCCAATGTCATGTCTGCAAGAGCGGTGAAAGTGTGGGTCGCCGGTTAAATGTGTCAATTCTGATTGCCATCGCCAAGACAGCAAAATCGGGGTCAACAAGGTCGGATCTCTTGGCCAGAGATAACTTATCTCCATGTCAGCAATTGCCGGCCGGATGCTAAGAAAGGCGTTATCATGCCAGAATTCCCCGCGAGAGACTGCGTGCATCTTGACACCGGCACGGTCCGTTCTTTCATACCGGCCCGGATGGCATGGAGATGCTATTCACAGTACCGACTTTCAACAGGCGAGCATGGCGTTTCTCATCTTCTTTGAAAGACATGGTTGTTGAGGCAGAATATTCTCACGTGCGATGATGATTTCACTCGTATTTATCATACTTGGTTTCTGAAGCTTCTTGAGGCCTGCTTCAGTACGGTTTTGCTGGCAATGGTATGGGTCGAGTTGCTGGCATATGACTATCGACTGCCTTACGTGCTAGGAAGCTAGTGTAGTATCTCTTTCACATCATTTACCTCGTTATACATCTAAGAGATGGAATCGGGTATCATAATCCGGGAAACGTCTTATCAATACTCGGGAAGTTGATGTCCGTCGCAACGTTAGTAACTCAGTCTCATTTACTAAATTACTACTCGGATCCTACTTTACCTTCATATCTACAGAGGAAATTTCTCCGTAGTTACTAGAGACACGAACATTGATATTGTATGAAATCTTCAGTGTGAGGTTCAGGCCCCTTTCAAATCCACAACTCTTGAATTAATAGTACTTGCAGTATATCATCAAGGCCAACGTTATAAGTCACACTCATCTAATAGAAGACAGTTTTGCAGACAAAATTGAAGTGTCAACACCTATGAAGCGAGACCGAAAAGTCTGAGTCATTTTACGCACCTGAACTATCCGTATTAGACAACCTCACTACCAGAAAGCTTATAGAGTCATTCGTACATTCAATACGGGCTACTATCCCTGTGAAACCTCTAGGCGGAAGGAGCTCGGGAGTTTAGCTTGAAGCCTATTCTACATGTTCTGATCTAGTCCACAAAGAGACACCCTCCATCACAAAACGAAAGACTCAACGTTGTCGAGGCGCTTGAGTGGGTTCTGTCGTTATTTGCGCGCCTTCCTTACCTTACCAGCCTTGTGTCAGTACGGGCTGGGTTATGGAGAGAATAGAAGTTGCTGTCATCTAGAAGCGGGGTCGGCAACGCGTTCCCAAATGCAAATTTTGAGACAGCAATGTGAGGGGTGATGAAGATGAGCTAGTAAGTTCAGCATAGTAAATCTAAATCAGGAACAGAGATACAGTCATCATTCAGAAGGAAACCCGTTGAAGCAGCCACTGACATGCGCCATGACCTCCTCGAGAGTTGCCAACTGGGATGTATGGCTGCTACCTTTGCGCCTTTTTTGTCTATAGTCAGAGGCTCACAGTATGGCCGTAGTAAAACCTTGACAAGATCGTATTCTCCTCTCTGTCACTGTGGCAAATATGTCATCAAGTGGACGCTAGATGTATTCAGATGACGATAGCTGGCCTTCATCGTCGCTCACCCTCCAAATCGCACATCAGCCTAATCTTGGTGCAGACTTTTCGAAGCCTTTTCTTGATGAATGTTGCATTTTCAGCGTATTGGTATGATGAAGTCGTTAGACTTTACCGTTGGACCGTTTACCCATCGCCATGGAATGCATGCCTAGCTGCGAAACATCCGGGACAAAAGATCTGCAAGCCCACATTCTAATGAACAGCTGATGATCACTTACCTTTGCGCTTATATCGATGGCCAGTAAAAGTCGGATATAGATGCCGAAATGACGAGATGGTCCCCAGGTTGTGGGTTGCTTCTCCAGGAACCACAAACCTTAAGCCTGGGTGTGTCTTCGTCTGAAGAACTAGAGGCCGTTTCAACCCACCCATTTTTTCTTTCTAAAGACGCTTTGAGTTTTCGAGATGGTGTGTGGCCCGTGAACCAGCTTTACCATTGTTTCGTTTCACGTTCCAAAATTCTGGAAATCGTCAAGTGCTGCCGGTCTTTCGTCGCAGCGCGGACGAGGCTCACGCACACTAGGACAGATGTCAGAGTCCGGCAGTCGTCTTTTCAAAAGTTGACGAGTGTCTAACTTTCAGGGGTAGGTTTTGCGCGCGTCGATTGAGACAGAGCGTTGAATGCAATTCCGTGCATACTCAATCATCATCCGACCATAGTCACAAGAGTCAACGTTTATTGACTGTGAAACACAGGCAGAATTTTGCCGTTATTATCTTGGCCATCAAGTCACTAATAGAAACAGTCACATTGGAGAGCGAAGAAGGCAAAGTAGTAGAAGGTCCATACTCCAGCTAGAGCAGGCAGTCGTGTCTCATTATCAGTAATCCAGTACTGTTACATGTAATCCCTCGAAGACCACTCCACCCTTTCAATCTTAGAATATGTGCAAAGGAATGACTAAATTACTCCTCATCCTCGAAATCGGTCGCCTCCATGGCGCGCTTCATCATGCGCTTGAACTGGCGGTCAGACTCAGCAACAGCGCGGGCCAGGTTGCGGCGAGCAGCGGCGGGGGTGTTGCCAGCAGCGGCCATCTGGACGGGGACGACACCACCGAAGGGACCGGCGCGAGCTGCGTTCTGGCAACGGACCAAGCAGACGTTGTTCTGTCCAGCGACGGTACCAGTGCAAGTCTGGCCAGCGGGGATCTCGGCCTTGATGGGGAAGTCGGTCATGGCACCAGCCTGTGATTGTTAGACTCGAATACATGCAGTGTGTGAATTAAAGTGACTTACGCGGTTGCGGGAGTTCTGGCCGGGAACAGTGACGGGGACGTTGATGTTGGTCCAGGTGGCGCCAGTGGCATCACCGTTGATCATGCAGTCGTAGGGGCCGCCACCGTCACCGTTGACCTGGTGGACGGTCATGTCGATGGTGCCACCGGCACGGATCTGGGGAAGCTGGTCACCGGTGGCGGCCATGATGGCCTTGGTGCCAGTCTCCAGGTCGTTGGTGCCAGCACCGACGGTCTCGCCGAAGGTGTCGGCGGCCTCGCCCTTGAAGCGGGTGGAGTCGGCCTGGAAGGGATCGCGACGGGTGCCGTCACGAGGAGTGCTGAGATCAACACCGAGGGCCATGCCAGTGCCACCGAGCTCGCCGGTAGCGCCGATGATGGCACCGTGACCGGCCACCAAGTTGGCGGCGGCAAGGATAGCAGTAGCAGCGACGGTCTTGAGAGACATTTTGACTAGTAGTTAAGAGATGAATGAGATGGTGCTCCTTGCCAGAGGAGTGTAAACGAGTAGTATCCTGCCGGAGGAGGTATTAAAACCGAAAGAGAGAAGAGACTGCTGAAAAGCTGAAGATGTTGATGCTGATGATGAGAAGAGATGAGAAAAGATTGGGAGGAATCAGGCGCTTTTGTACTCGACATTTCACGATGTTGAGTCGATACTCCCCAGTCTTTCCCAGCACATGAAAGGCAAACTTAGCAGAATATCTCCTACATCGCCTGCACGATCCACATACCGTCTGGTGCCTTGCAACCCTTGGAACCGACACCAGCCCCAACATCAAGCATATTGTTTAGACTGTAGAGTCGAAAAAGATGAGGCCAAACACCGGCGAGAACGACCGCATCTCGTGATGGAGACAAGTTCGAAACTGGGCCCTTTCCGATTTGGATCGTCGAAGGAGGCTCTGTGTGGGAGACGACAAGGGTCCGAACCTTGTTGAAGAGCCAATCGCATCGCGATCGCGTTGCCCACCTCCTCGCAGAGGGCAGGGAGGGGAAGAAACACTGTCGCAGATCAGAAAACGTTTGTCGCACATCCCTGGTGTGCCTGGGGGATGGGAAGATGATGTTCCAGGATCTGCGCCACGCCCGTATTATCCAGGGCACGGGAGAGAATCGCCCAGATCAAACACACCAGACCTTTCTCCTCTCCCCTCCCTTTGGTTTGGTTTGGTTGGTACTGCACGTTGGCGAGACGAGAGGCCGTGCGGAGAGTCTGTGGAAAGGCGACTCAACAGAGGTGATGCTTGCCTTGCGGCGCGATTTGAAGTCTCGAACCTGCGCTCGGCCACTGAGAACGTTCGTCCATAGTGGAAGCGTAATTCTGAGCGACTGGGAACCAAAGAATGGAGAGAGACGCAGAGATCTCTGACGGCTATCATCTCAATCTTCTGGAACAAAGGCCCCTAAAGCCCACCCCGTTGCAACTTGCTGATGAACGTGAACAGCGGACGATAGTGGATACGCAAACGATGAGAAGTTGAGATGTCATGTTGGACTTAGCCATGCCCATAGTGTCGTCCCTGACACTGGTGTTCAATGCCCACTCTGCATAGTGGTGTTTTACGGATGGAATACCGAAATGGGACAAGGCGGATAGAAAATCACTGACGGACAGACAGAGAGAGAGAGGCGAAGTCCCTGCAGGACGCAGCGATGCTATGCATCATTTTCAGCTGGGCACGCGGGAGCTAGCGCTTAGTGCCAGGTACGCCAGGGCAAGCTTCACCACTCCCGTTTGCTTGTCTCTGGCATTTGGCGCGCTGCCCAGTCCCATTGGTCTTTTGGAATTAGACTTGACTCGGCTGCCCAAAGTATCCACACAAAGTAGCATTCGCATCACTCCGAATAGGTTGAAGTGGTGGGAAGGGGAAACAAGGAGGTGGCCCGCCAGGACTACGGAGGTACGGAGGCATGAAGGCCTCCAGCCCGGGAGGAGGCTGGGGGATTTGATCGCCGTTGACATAGCAAAGGAGGCAGGCGGGGCGCATCGTTTCGCTGATCATTGTGAATCATTGCTGCCAGCCGGGCACGATCCCTAGAAGAAAATCGCATGAGCCGCCGGTGGTTTCCAGGACTGTCGTTGCACCGCCAGGCGTTTCTCGTTTCTGTGGATCACCCATCAACCCCGGGGGAAATCAGTCCCAGGGCCAGGCGAGAATGTGGTCCTGCCCACATGAACATTTCAAAAGATCTGGGGGTGGCCAGGGGTAATACGGGCGCTTCATTATGGGGAGACCTGGGCAGGGAGTGTCGGTTGTCTTTTGCTCCGATGCAAGCATGGCAGTTCTAGACGTCCTGACAGGGAACTGAGGGGCAAGTTGATACAGGGGGCCGTTGCGCTTGGATCTACGTAGTACGTAGTAGACACGACCATCGCCAGTACTACACACACACACACACACACACACACACAGCTGTGAGCCTCAGCCAATCCATGGAGATCCATGGAGAGGGGGGCGCGGCTGGCTGAGTCGCCTGCTGTGATTCGTGTTGTCCGTGCTTCACCGCAGCATACCTGGAACAGGAACAGGTCGCCCCCGCTCGAATAGAAGCGCGGAGAAAAATTAAGCTTGGCAAAAAGAGTTGTGTCAGAAACACGATGGCGAAATCGGCTCTTTACTGGGAGCTTGCTTCCCAGGATCGCATAGGAAGCATGGGACACACAGAAGACGCCCGTTTGCTATTCTGGTTTGTGGGCAAAAGTTGCCTCCATGCCATAAGGCGCACATTCTAGGTCCCACCGTCCCAGTCGTACTTGGATGAGAGCACCGAGGAGGTCCGGCTGATCCAGAAACCGAGAAAGTCATGTCAAGATCTCATAGGTAGAACATCGACACACTTTAAGGCAGCCTCACAGGTAATTAGGCCTTCCAACACTTTTGTTTAGTCGTGTACCTACTGTAATAAGCTTGTAAAGACGGAGCTTTTTTGCCGCTTTGCGTCGCATTGGCATTGCTCAGGCCTCTTCTTGACTTTTCTTCGCCTCTCCCGACTCGGGGCCGAGAACCGGCTGGGCGGGTCCACTCTTTCGGCCGATTCCGCCTTCCGGAGTGGATCTCCGTAAGGGCCCCGCTAGCTAAGCCTTCGCCGCAATGATTTCCCTCTTTCATAGAACCACAATGATTTGCATTCCCGCGCCCGCGATGCTTGCGTAGATCAATCATCATCTGGCAAACCAATCGCAATACAGCGGATGATGTGAAAAGGGGGGATTCTTCAGCCACAGTAAGGCCTGGTGCGAGTCGCCAGGCCCGCTGTGCCGCTGTGCGCACGAGACCTGACGCGCCCCTGACGCCGCACGCGAGTTTGATCTTCGCTGCCAAGCTGCCAAGCTGCCAAGACACCTCAAAACCCGCCCTACCCCGAGCGTTGACTACTCAGGTGCGTGGTGCTGTATGGGAAACTTGAGGGAGGGCAAGAAGATGCGTGAAGATGCGTAAAGATGCAAGGCTACGGCCAGGACTACGCGAGGTTGCATTACGTGCCAAGAACGTAGGGCAGAGAGCGTAGCAGGGGCTAGTCATGACCACAGCACGGAAGGAAACCGGTGAAGGCAACTCTCTCCGATCCCCTCGGATGGCTCCAGCTGTGAAAGCTTGTGTTTGGCGAAGTCTTCACCCAAAGTCGTGCGTAGAGAGTTCATGCATCGTGCAAGGGACGAATCGTATTGACCGTATGACCCTCGTAATGAATGGTTTACCCATTCTTTACAAGTGGCGGAAATGCAGGTCCACGGTTTCTCTTTTGTGAGGCACGTTTCTGACATTTGGAAATTGAGATTCTTCGGCCTGTAGTCGTCGAGGTGCTCCTGAGTCAAACCCTCTTCGGGATTAGACTCTCATCGATTACCTTCATCTCAATATCTGATGCTCGGCATGAGACGCCCTACTCCATCGACCGAAGTTTTTCAGAATTACGCACCAATCCTTTGGCTGAACCCATCTCAACTATGCTCGTGCCCTGAGCAGTTCGCTCACCACCGCTGAGATCTCGCCGTCTATACTTGTCGCCAGCCCATCTGCCTCCAAATTCCATGGGACGGCCGTCTCGGGTCCCTTACCCACCCTCACAAGCTTCACTCTTCCCCCACCTCTCATGACGAGATCCTCGTTGGGCCATCTCAAGACCCCCGGCGTAGACATCCCTACGCCAAGCTCTAGGATCACTGTCGTTCTTTCCTCACGATGCACCACATCCCGGCGGAACTGCTTCCATCTCTTCTCTCCATCTTCAAAGGGCTTCTCGTTGAACCAGTGCCCTGCCCTCACGCAGATGTTCATTTTGCCGCCGCAAAACTTGCAAAGGGGCACCTTGCTTGGTTCTGTCAATATTTGAGATACTGGATCTAAGAACGCTTGCCCATCTGCAACTAAAGGTGCCGATGGCATTGTTGCCTCCGGTCGGCAATTTGCCAAACACTGGAAGACAGAGTATGAGCCTTGAGGGGTTGAAAGTTTCTCTGGCGATAGCCCATTCGCAACAAAGAGGCCATCGGCGTTAGATGTTCTCACATGGGCGTTTCCTCCAAATCTCTCGAGCCATGGAATGAGCGTTCGGTACATTCCGGATTTTGGCCAAGACTCGATCATTGCCAAGTGGGTAAAGTAGTAGCCCCAGCGGACTTGTTCCGTTGGCCAAGAAGTGAAGCCAAAGACGCTGTACAGAGTTCGCAGCCCATACTTCAAGAAACCGGGAAAGTTCTTGGCAAACAGGGCCGACGAAGTGTAATCCAGCCCGTCGGAAGCAGAGAGACCGGCACCGGCGCTCACAATGACTGCGTCAGCGGCGTCCAGCCACTGCCTGGCCCGGTCCAGCGAGTCGCACTGGATCAGTGGCGGATGATTCGCACTTGCCGGCGTCGGCGACCGGCCCATCCATGTAGTATGCGGGGGAGAGGCTAGGATCTCCTGGTAGATGGCATGATCTGCGTCCGTGAAGGTGTTGAAGATGATATCGGTGATGGACGTATCCTCGTGGTGCTCGAGCCAATCTGTTACTGCGCTGGCCGCGACGGCTGCTGCATCTCGCGCCGGATAGGCGAACAAGCCGGTCGAGATGCCGCATAACGCGACAATCTTCCTGCCATCCGGCGTCGAGGGCAGCGGCTCGACTGCGTCAAGAACGCTGTGATAGCATTGGGTGAGCTGTTGCGTCTCGGTTATCGTTGGTTTTGAGCCGCGTTGCAGTTGCGGCCCGACTGTATGCACCACATGCATCGCTGGTAGGCAATACGCGTCTGTGACTATCGCCTCGCCCGGTCCGAGTTCACGACCTCTTTGATTCATGACCCGGTAGCACTCGTCCCGCAGCCGGGGCCCAGCGCAGGAGTGAATCACATTGTCTATGCAGCGGTGCGGCGGCTGGAAGCATCCGAGTCCCTGGCTGTTCGCGGCATTGGTGATTGCAGTGATGCCGGTGAGAGTCGTGATGTCACCTTTCCAGAGCGTAACTCTAACGCCGTTACGGTTTGTTCGTTTGAGTGTGATTGTTGGTTGGATAGAACCCGCCACAATCAGGACACGATGTGATACCTGCTGCTGTAGGACTGAGTCTATCCCGACAAGAACGTCTTTCGGGAGCGGCGGTTCCGGTATGCGAACACAGAGAAGCTGGTGCAGAAGCTGTAGATGTGTAGAGGGGTCCAGATCATCTAACTGGTCTTTAATATGATGAAGGTGGTGGTCGTGATGGTCGTGATGGCAGTCGTCAAGGTCTAAATCAGCGCTTGAATCCGTTTCATCTAGTAGATGAATGAGGATTTTCTGTAGACTGTCCATGCTTTGCGATGTTGTATGGATATCTTCTTTGCCTATTGATGATTCCAATCTCATCCACATTAGTAGGCAGGGAACCACTAATTTTTCAAATAATTTATCTGAGTATGATTATGAATGGCAATTTTGATTTCAAACATGGCAAAACACGAATTTGAGAATATGCATTTTGGTTCCGATTTTATCTTGCTTTGGTGAGCTGACGGAAGTAATTTGCATCCGGCCTTGAGATTGATAGAACCTCTTTCGCCTCCAGGATCAAATTCATAACAGATCCTCCTAGCAAAGATCGCTTAAAGAAAAAAATGAGGGATGCAGACTGGAGGGAAGGCTTAATCAATTTTCTGAGTCTTTGTAAGCTCTATCTAATATTTTGATTACTGGCGATTTCAATCGCGAACTTGGAGTTGTCTTTTTCCACCATCAGCACTTTTCACCGCGAACAATAACGTTCCACTTCGTCTTATGGAATGCCTGCCCTGAGGACCTCATCGCGGTGGGCCAACCTTCCCTTCCACATGTTTTCAAGACCTTATCAGCGCCATCGGCAATAATTCTAAAGGATTCCGGAGTCTTTGGCTTGTCGTCCTACAAAGACGCTACTCAGCTTCGTACGTAAGGTGTCACGTTGGGTATTAAACTCACCTCATTGCACCACCAGATTGCCGTACTTTCGGAGCAACTCATACGACCGCATTCTCCCGGGCCGGCTTGGTTTGTAGGTCTTCTGTGTCGGATCTGCTTAAGTAGGTTGATGCCGTCTCTCGCAGCGGCGTTCAAGCCTTTTGGGAAGTTGTAGCAGATGACGCGACCATCGCCGAAGTCGTTCCGCTTCTTTAAGACAGGAGAGGAGGTACTAGAAGCCAAATCTGGGCCCAAAGCCTGCTCGTACAGAGATCCATGGAGGCGGAGCTCTTCCAAGAGATCCTCGACCGTGCCATTCACGACCACCTTCTCAGCCCTGAAGCCTGTATCGAACTCCCACTGTGGGACGAAAATCCCATATCCTTCGATGGGAGTCTTATCAGGAATCACTAGTCCGTAGGCCTAGCGTTATATTAGCATCGAATAGTAGAGTTATTGTACTGTTTTGGAATCATGGTCCTACCGACGCGGCCCAAGAAGCGATGATGAAAGCTCGGACTTGATAGAAGCGCATTATGATGGGATCAAGAGGTTCGAGGGGATCAGGGCAGATACTTGAAGTCGAGTTCGAAAGCTGTCAGTACATTAATCCTTGTCGATGAAGCGCTTTAAGTAAGCTGGATCCCGACAAAGTGATCTCTTAGGGAACCTTGAAGTCTCGATAGCCATAGGAGACAGCCTCTCTCCGTCGAGCTGAAATCTGACATCATCCTGTGACTGAAAACCTTGAACAGATAATTCCACTCTTTTTTACACCTTTATTTGACGCTCCCTTGGTGGTTACTTGGATCCTTAGAGGTACCATCTTCTCGATTTTCGGTAACGTATGTGCAATTATCTAAAACTGCAAGGCATGCGGTAAGTACATGTAGTTAATACTTGTACAAACATGGCCTAATGATCCATTCCTCAAAGTACTGAGTCCATCCACTCATTGGCGTGATATAAATCGAGAGGTTTCAAATCGTCATCAAGTAAGGTACTGCAGTACCATTACAAGCGCCACCCATCCAGGATATCCGTGTCATTATACATAGTCAAGTCGAAGTAGTGCACCTGTCTCTGCCCACCCCGTCCAAAATTCTCCGATGTAATATTGAGCAAGGTAGCCGAAGTAGTTGAAGAGGTCAAATTCGTCAGATCAGGGAAAGCATCCTCAATCATGCTTGAAATCTCCTGCGGGGTGTAAAAGTCGGTACCCTTAGCTTCGATATTCTTCTGGAAGAAAGAAACATAGTTTCTCGTATGGTCGACATCGGTGACTGCACTGAAGTTGTCGACTGATAGCGCGTGTCCAGGTATAACAATATTAGGCTTGAGGCCCGCGATGAAGTTGAGAGTCGTGAGCCAAGACTCTGTGAGGGCCGGAGTGAGAAGGTCGGCAAGCCAGGCATGCATCTGGTGGCCGTAGACGACGTCACCAGCGATCAGTGTCTTAGTGGACGGGATCCAGAAAGCAGATAGATCAATCGTATCGCCGCCGACATTCTTGAGGATTTCAATCGGGCACTTTTCGTCGCCTGGGAGCGTGAAGAAGGAGAAGTTGTAAGCAGTCGGAATCGCGGGGACGGGAGCGATGACGCCGGGCCCATAGGCCGCAGACCAAAATTCTGTCTATAGCCCAACTGTTAGCCGTAGAATCACAAGAAGCCTTATGGAAGCTTCGGTCACCTTGTTGAGAGCCTCATTCTGGATTCCCTGCACTGTCTCAGGAGTGGCGTAGTGTTTAGCCTCGGGGAAGTGTTGGAGGAACGCCTTTCCGCTCAGGTAGTGATCAGGATGGTTATGCGTCGTGAAAGCCGCCAACAGAGGCTTATTAGTCGTATTCTTAACCCATTGAGCTAGGTTTTCTGCGTCAGATACCGCGAGGGGCAAGTCGATGATCGCGGCAGCTTGTGAGCCGATGATCAGAGACGACACAACATCCAACGAGAAACCCGGGCTGGTGAAGCTCTCGACCCTGAGGTTACAACTGCAAGATGCGGCTGCTTGCATAAAGGCCGCCGATAGGGCGACGATGATTGTCTTAGGGAGCATGGTCTTCGTACGTCCGTTTTTGGTCAAAGGGGTGTCAGACCTGGATTAACCTTCCTTCAATGCCGTAGGTAATTATAACTTAAAAACAACTTTGGTGCGCCTCTGTCTTTCTATCATAAATACCAAACAGAAATTAAAGACACAGCCGAGCCAGAATTGATTTTAATTCCGAGTCTTGGTCAAATATCGAGCGTGACTCAGTCGACTCGGATGCAATTCGCAAGCACGGAACCATTGTGTTTCCGTGATCATTCTATTTTCGATGCATTCACTTGCGACAATGAGTTCAAAACAAAGCAGCAGTTCTAAACTTTGAAATCAAAGTTGATTATTGTACCGGAAAGCTCACTTCGTGTATCTACGAATTGAAGATTAGTGATCCTTACCACGGCTTGTTCGTGTTCAATGGTTATCATCTCTTAGTGTTACGATACCCGAGGCTTCCGATCCCCCGGGCCCATCGTCAGATTGGACAAGAAACCCGCACCGAACTGCAATCGACACTCAACCTTGTCGTCAACTTGCCTCATACCCCACTCTATCTTAAACATTCAAAGGCTGACAAGGATACTGTCTCTATTGTCTTGAAGTGGAAATCGGCCTCAGTCAAAGAGCACTTGATTGAAAACGTATTCAATATCAAAAACTGGTTCGACAAGGTCAAAAAGGAAAGCCATATTGATTCTGCCGCGGAAAGGGTTAGATCAGTCAAATTTCAAGCATCAGGGAACCTGGAACTAACGACTCACAGGACTACTCTCTCCTCAAGTCTGTAACCTCTCGAGCTTGGATTGTTGGTGTTTGGAGAGCTCAGAGAAAACCCCGGCCGTCCGATAAAAACCAGACCACCAGGTCCAGTGGCAAAAACGAGATGCCACCGGATGCTTATGAGGATTTGGTCTCCACGATTAAGCAACATTTCAGCGGACCCGTAGGAATCGAATCTGGATGCGACTTCATCGCTTCATCTGCCTCGGAAGTAACGGAATTCACCATGTATGTCAGTGATGGCAACTTGGGAAAAGCTGCGGAGATCTACACTTCTATCAATCCCCACTTTGCCTTCGACTTCATCCAACGACGCCTGAGTCTTAGCAGCGTGCATTGTCTGGCAGTCTCCGGTGAGATCAAACCAGTTGATGGAACAGCCCCCGTGCAGGAGAATATACGGCGCGAGAGTGAGCTGCTACAGATCCAGGAGGCCAAGGTTTCAACGATTCTTCTTCAGACGCAAGGCATAGTGGTGGACGATATTGCGAAAAAGATAGACAAGCTGATGAAGGGGGACGTCGACAAAGACCGAGGACATTTCCTCAAAGATATTTTTGAGGATATTGACAACTTGCAACTGCTACATGGAAGTTTGAAGTAGATTCGGCATCTTTATAGGGAGAGGGGATCTACATCTAGACTGAGATCAGAGAAGTCTATAGCTATGGAATTGAAAGAATGTCTTGATTAAAAGGGCAAGCTATTGCGTGAAGCATAGAGTAGATCAGCCTTGCAATCACGAAGCTCAGTTGCCAAGTTCATATACTTTTGATGCCGGACATTATATTATTACCATAGAACCTGAAATGGATATAAACCTAAATGGTTCAACTAAGATACTTAGAAAGGCTAGAGTTTTGCGGAAACGCAATTGAGAAAATGGGATAAAAGACGACAAAGAACCTGACGTCAGCCATTCGGCAGCCAAACACGTCTCACGTGTTTTGAAATCGCGTGAACCTCCTTAACGCGTGTCGGAGAATGTCTAGTCAAAATTGCGATGTAACTTTTCATCTCCGATGGGCTTTGTGCCTTGTCCCGAAGAGATGGTAGCCGCAAAACTTTGACCTTCTAGGTGCGTTCTGGCCTAGTCCTAGCCGCTGTTCGAGTCAAAGCATCTGGTCATGACACGCCATCATCGACAAAGAATCACAGACCCGATCGTTCCAGAAGTCGGTTTCCACAACGGCCGTGCTTGGAGGCTCACAACGGTCATCCCCAAGACTTCGTATTCCGGCAACAAGGGTGACCACTCCTCATCGTGAGCCCTCCACCAGCGCGCGCAGGTGTCAAGTCGAAACCATGTCACACATCACATCCATGGAGACGCCTTCGTTGTTGTTGTTGTTGTTGTTGTATTTAACGCCGTGGCGGCCGGGCTAGAGCCCTTACCGCAGACCTCCCGAAGGGTATATGGCGTGGAGGGCCGTGAGCCAAGGCTACCTACTCTACAGTACGTCGTCTCTTTACATCGTCCTCCAAATCATGCCTTGTGGCCACTACGCGTTCTGTCTGTCCCCGGTTCCCGCTGGTGCCCCAGTTTCATTCTTTCCCAAATCGTCCCTTGGAATCGGGAGGTTCTTTGTAGTCCGCACTCACATCTACGTAGGTGTGGATGCTGCTACCGCAGACAGATCTTCTGGAAGAAGTCCGTCACGCGGAGAAAGGCCTCGAAGCCTCGTGGGTCGGTGATTAATCTCTTGAAGTAGGCCTCGAGAGATCCCATAGGGCCTATGGGCTCGGGCATACTGCGAGAGTGGAGGGTCGGCCACCGTTGCCTCCTCGCCAGCGTTAGTCGACAGTAGACCAGGTGGTCCACGTCTTTCGCCTCTCCACAAGAGCACATCATTAGAGCGTCGTCGTGGTTGAAACGTCGGTGATATTGCTCGAAGTCCCCGTGACCCGATCGTGCCGCCAGCAGGTGATGTAACGTAGCCCGCGGCAAGGCCAGTTCAGGAGGGCTGGACAGAGCTGCCTCAAGCCCCAAGTCCGCGTACCGCGGCCTTCGCTCTTTATACCACCATCTCCTGTGCTGGCTTTGTAATTTTTCCCTTGCAAGCCGCTTGATGCCCGCTAGTGTTGCCATTTGACCCATCCGCGCCGGCAGTGTCGTTCCTTCTTTGGCCAGCCGGTCCGCGGCCTCGTTTCCTTCGATGCCCTGGTGTCCCGGGGACCAGTGCGTCCGTATATCAAATATCCTGGCCGCTTCTTGGATTTCGAGGAACGCGTCTTGTGACGAGTCCGGCGCCTTGCCGCGGATGCCTTGTATAACGCTGGTGTTGTCGATACATATGTGGATTGGATGACCGCGATTGGTGAGCAGAGCCCTTCTGAGGCCGGTTCGCGCCCCTTCGACCTCGGCGTCGAACACTTCTGCTAGTCCGAGTCGGCCGCACCCTTGTGCTATGCGTTTGGAGTCTCGGTAGATGACGAAGCCGTACCCCACGGCTCCGTTCGTCGCCCTGGAGCCGTCCGAGAAGACGATCATATGGCTTTCCGGTACTGTCTTTAGCCAGCGCTCGAAAGCTTTCGCAGCCTCTTCTTTGCATTGAACTACTATCTGATCCTGTGAGCTTGGCAGGTACTGTGATTGAAGGAACGCTGGTCTTCCGCATCTTGGCAGAAGTTCAGCCGTCCGTTGTAGTCTCGTCTGTTGCTGTCCCTGCTGGGAGAGCCGCGCGACTAGCGGGTGTCGGCGATCAATCCTCTGTAGTCGGACTGCGGCCCGTAAGCGGACGCCCTCTAAGGCGACTTTGGCTGACGGTAAGCCGGCGTCTCGGAGGAGGCTACTGGTTGGCGTTGTCCTCCAGACAGGCAGAACGGCCCTTGCTGCCGCTGTAATGACGCTGTCGATCTTCTGCACGAGCCCCTTTGGCCTGTGTTGACGGGTCTTCCTTGGAGAGGCGGATTCGTGTCTGTCTCCGCTTGGCGTCTCGAAGCCGGCTTCGTGATACCTGCGTACCATGTTTCGGCGCCGAAGAGCGCGATCGGCAGTACGCAGGAGACGACGGCTTTTCGCACGGCGGCCGCTGGGAGTCCCCTCTTTGTGTTCGTAAGCTGTCTCAGATGTTGAGCTGCCCTCTTTGCTGCAGCTACTTTTGCGTCGACATGGTGCCGGAAGGACAGTCTCTTGTCGAACCAGACACCCAGCCAGCGTACAGGTTTCGTCGAGGCCTTGACCACCAAATCCCCCGCCCGGACCTCTGGCAGCTCCGCTGGCTGGCCGTGCTTCCTAGTAAAGTGGATGACCTCGCACTTGCTCGGGTCAAAGGAGACCTTGTTCTCCAAGCCCCATCTGAGAATGCCGGCTGCGCTTCGGTTGAGTATTGCGACGTTGCTCTCCAGGGAGGGGCTGATGGCCAGAGTGGCGATGTCGTCCGCGTACCCGAATCGCGCGTTCGGTCGTT